GTGCCATCCGCATGCCTGCATACATGGTGAAGGGAAAATGCAGACGAGACCTGTTGCCCCAATTCAATGTGCAACGTGAAACTCGTACAGAGGATTGCGGAGGTGGATCACACCGAATTCGATGGTTTTACAGACTGCTTTGGGATGGTGGAAACGTCGCTTATCATGACTACATGAAGACCGTATTGACCAAGGAGGAGATCGCATCCATGCTCAATCCAACCGCGACAGCTGAGTATGTCGGCGACATTTTCGAATTCTGGCTTGGGATGCTTGACCTGGGTATTCAATTCCCTACTATGTTTGGTGGATGGGGGGCAAACCTTGACAGTTGCCTCGCAGGACTGGAAGAATCATTCTGGCTCTTCAGCAGTTCATGTCGACCTACCGACACCATCAACACAAAGCGAAACCGATCCAGGAAAGCATACATCCCACCGGTCGAGAACGATATGGTGACAACAGTCTTGAAAGAAGCGGGAATCTTTGACCTACTCCTGCAGAAGAAGATCACCAGAATGCCGGTGCTCCCGGAAGCCAACTACGATGACCATCCTGAAATGATTGAGGTCTCATCAAGCGATGAGGAGGAGGATGAAGTTGGTGAGCCTGAAGAGGAGACCACGACGCCTACGGCGCGGGGCCCTCGAGCAGAACAGACTTCAGGAGAAACTGATGCCGGAGCTGGTGACGTCGAAATTGAGGAGGAAGAAGAGGACATGGGGGGGCCAACCTTCAGAAGCGAAGAAGCGCCGAACTGAGGTGCGGAACATCCGCGAGCAATTTGAGAAGCTGATTGCCGACGCATCGAGTGTTCAATATTGTTTCATTTGTGGTGGGATGCATGACATTGATGAATGTACCACTCCTGATGATGAGAACATGAAGGACACCCTATGGCGCATGAGATTGATCATGGACCAGAAGTCCAAATCCCCATCGTCTTCGGAAAGATCCAAAGCTGCGACAAGAGGCAGAAAAGACAAGCTCCCGAAGAACGTCATGCCACGAGGAAAACGTTGGGGAAGAACCAGATTCACTGAGAAAGAAGAAGTGACCAAATGCTTCTACAGTCAGTCAGCCTTTATGTACGACATTGGTGATCGTGAAGAAGGAGGACAGTACTTAGTGAATGGCGTCGAGGTCAACCCAATTAGCCGAGGTGTGAAGAATCGTCACGAGCTTGATATGCTGATTGAACGTGCGGCTGAGGAATCCCCGCCTGTTTTGCCGACCATTGAGGAGCTGAACGCTTGGAACCCCATTGATCATGATGCATATGTGAAATGGCTTACTGAAGAAAGAAAACAGTATGGAGAACTGGAATTTCAAGTGCATCCAACCATTCACACATGGCCACAATATCGGCACACTGCAACTTGCTCACATCAATGGAGAAGAATATCTTGGATATGGATGGAGTAATGTGCATCGATATGGCGAGAATGAGTGGATGGGCAACAAGTGGGAAAATCCGCAATGGATAGTTGAATTGTCGAAAAGATTCGATGCAGCGCTACGCCACTCCGTGGGTTGCGTCAAGGACAATCGAAATCACCGTGGACTACCTTGCGATGAAGCAGGTTGGGTCAATGTCGAGTCGATCTTGAAGTACGACAACATTTGGAGAGACCAACATACATTGGCTGGGACGACCCACGTCAACTACCCAATACTTGTTGAGAGGTGGAACAATTTCCAGAGAGTGATCTTCACTGAGTACAAGCAAACGAAAAGAATCCGAGCTCAAGTGCTAGGACTCAAAGTCACAAAAGGTGAGTTGGAATACGTCATGAACAACTTCAATGATGGATTGACCTCGAGACTTGAACGACACACACACTGAGGTTGGAGATCGGAACAGCAGATCGAGAGATTTGGCTATGGCCGGTGGCAATCCGCGCCCCTATGGCACATTCAAGAGTTCAAGGCGGTGTGCACATCGAAGACAAGAAGACTTCCTACCAGATGAACCCTGGAGTCGGATACACTCTTGGAGGAGGATTTCACTGCACCACTTTTGACAACATCGCTCAAATCTTCAGAGAAGGACTACGTCCCGGAGGAGGAGGCGACCGCATCAATACGTTCTTCGTGCCATTCGCACCGTGGGACGTGCGAAGTCAGACGGTGCTGAGATTCAGGAAGATTGAACAAACTGATCTTGTCTACATCTACATCACGTACGATTCCATCGCCAAGTTCTCCCCTCGATTGTCAGCAGACGGACACATTTTGGTCCAAGAAACAATTCCATTCGAATCATTCGATGCAGTTTGGTACTATGATTGGAAGGAAAAGGACTACTACCGTCTCATGATCACAAAGGGAAAAGATCAACTTGTGCTTTCTGTGCAAGGAGCAAGGAGGGTGGCCACCATTGAACGATTTGACAAACTCATTGGGAACATTGTGCCTGATGAATCATCACCCGATCTGAACGAACTTCGAAAGCTTGTCGACATCAAGACCGGTCATTTCAGTCATGCTCACAGATTGTTCCCAGGACATCCGGATTGGAATGATGCAATATCATTGTTAGCAGTCACTCATCATCCTAGCAAGGAGGACCATCGACTATGCCCCGCATGTCTGATGGAGACCCCTGCACCATTATCGATTTGTGTGATGTGCAAAGGATTCTTGGTAAGTCATGGATGGAGGAAGCGAATCAAGATCACCGTGGCTACTGTACCAAGTGCCGAATCACGTCCTCGAGAAGAAGATCTCAAAGACCATGTCAAGAAAGCATGGGAAGAAGTGAAGGTCGATTTGACAGGTGAAGATGATGACGACGAGCTGATGCAAGATGATGATGACGTCACCATGAAGAGTCCAGAACAAGAACCTCAACCAGAAGAAGAAAATGATGATCAAGCCTCGAAGAAGGGCGACATCAACGATGAGAGAAGAGACTTCAGAGAACAAGATGAGGTCGATAAATTTCTCAATGAGGAAGGAAAACAGACCGATGAGAATGACGATGAAGAGATAGAGGTCGATGAAATCAACATTGAGGAGTACGAGGCTGGAGAAGCTCATGATGCAGTGATCGAGTACCCCAAGTGGATGAAGAGGATTGAGTTTGGATCAAAGGTCCTACCAATCGAGCCTTGTACAATTGGAGATGCTCAGCCGGAGCTCATCAAAATCCTCCTGTTACAGATTGGGTTGCATATCGTCAGGATCTACAGACTATTCCAACGGAACTTCTGTGGAGACATCGAGACGGCATGGAAACACTTTCGACAGAACCGAAAATTCAGGATGGACTTGGATTCAAGAGTGCCATACCTAGGTGAGGATGAAAATGGTGAACTCATCGAACCAAATGCACAACAGATGAAAGAGCTCTACCAGGAAATCGGCCGACCACAACAAAAGGACGACATCGGGGAAGAGGGATTCGTCAATGCATACTATGGGGCGGTGGTACTCAAGCGACTCCTCGTATATACCCTTGAATGTGGCTACACATATGAAGACTTGCAAAATATCTTCTATGACGAAGAGATGGAGAAACTGTCGAAACGTGACACAACAAGGGATGAGATGAGAAAGACCACAGCTGCCCGCGAAGCCCTTGACCGACAAGACGTCATGGTCAGAAGAATCATTGCAGGTGCATACAAGGTGAACGCTGTTTATTTCTTCAGGAACGTCGACTTTCAGGACACAATCACACTGAACCCAGTGGACATAGTATGTGCTCTTCGACCACCACTTCGAAGAATATCAGTTTTGCATCTGATCCTTCAAAATGGCCGACAATTGCCACGACCTCTACTCCAGAGACTGTATGATGCAATCAATGACTACAACCACATCAAGCAACGGGATGATCAACGACCAAGATGGGGCATCCACATGACAGAAGCCCACCTGGTTGCGATTGCTGATACCCCGGTTCCTGCCGATCGTGAACGTGCTAACCCGGCCGCTGGCAAATCGAAAGCAGCCCCGAAGGCAGCCCCGGCACTAGGCAGAGTGTCAAAAGCGAAAGCATCATCATCAGCAACATGGAGAACCGTAGAAGCTGCTCCTCCGCCAAAACAAGCTCCAGTGACCCCTCCACAGAAAGGTGGAAAAGACCAAGGAAAAGGTGGAAGATCTTATTCACACCGTGGTGGCGACTGGAACCAACATGGATACTATGGATGGGGATACAGATGATAAATCGATATGACCTCTGCATAGGTCCTGATTGAACCTGGCGAAGCGAGGCAGCCATCATTGCTCGAGATTTACCTCTACTTCATTTCGAATGATTTCTGAGAGGACTCTGAGCCGGCTAATTTACCACCACATTTTTTTTGAACATCATTGCACGAGACGCTGAGTTTCTACAGCGGTCTACATCTCAACCGACGAAGGAACGGGGAGGTAAACTTCTAGTTCCATAGTCATGTTTGTAGTTTGATTTTTTTTAATTCGCATGCTTGAGTGGGACTCCATGCTGGCTACGCCACATCGGATGAACCTCAATGCTGTACACCGACTACGTCGTGTCAGCATGCACGTGAACAGAACCTTTATTTTTTTGGTAGAGATCGTAGCAAGCCGCCATGTAGATTTGAAGTTCTGAACGGACTTTAGCTCTCCATAATTCGATAAATGAACAGCTGCAGATGTATTGGAACGATTTAAAGGACACTCCTTTGCGCGTGGCCAACAAAGTTGGCCATGCGTGGGGGGTGCGAATGGTATGTAGGCTACGGCATGGTACATATTGCCATATGCATATCCCATAATCGTCCATGGCCAAAGGATCGCATGATGTGCTCCTTTTGGCTCAAGATGCTGCCAGCTCCACGCAAAAGGGATGCAATGCCGAAACCGTTGTTCGTTCGTCATCACTGGTGAGGGAAATCAACATCCTTCTACAACAGCTAAGAACATATAATCGGGGAGATAACCTCCGATTCGCATATATAGTATATATATATATAGTATATATATATATAGTATATATATATATATCCACATATGCCAACTGATTCATGGTGCCCTATCCTTGTTTCAATCCCCGTCACCGTCACGGAGCTGAGATCTTCGCCTTCACGGTGAAGAAGTTGGAACGCCTGGGCGTCTCTGGCGTGGTCATCGAAGATAAGCCACCTGGCGGACACGGGACGCATCTGGCGTTGAGCCAATGGGATATTTCGATGGAGGGAAACCAGAAAACCCATGGGAATCCATGGGATTTTGCCATCCAACTCTTGTTGATTTCACGGGATTTTGGGGCAGAAAATCGTTGAGGTTTTCTGAAAGAAAGTGATTTTGGTGCCTCAATTTGGAGCTGTTCACCATGGAAACCCGGAAGCAGGGGACATCACCAATCAAACTGCGGGATCAAGATGAGCCAATGATGGGAGAGATAGATAGAGTCAGACAAGAGTGGGATACTAGCGCAGTATTGATGGGTTTTGCCAAAAATTGGGACCACAAGACTTCTAGTTCAGGACATGTCGAAATGAAGTGAGACTTGGGCTGGCCATGATGCATGCTTAGACTCTGATGGAATGATTTTGTTGCTTGTGTTAGTTTCCACATGTTTGCACTGACCTGTTGATGGATTGGGATTTGATTCTGGGTAGGATCAGTTGCATCTCTTGGACTGTTAAATAGGTAGGACACATGATACATGGATGAATTTGGTCAATTCGTCTGTAGCTTTGCTGCGGCTTGGTTGACTCATTGGCCGAATCACAGCCCCAGGACGGGCCTGAAACAAAATTCCCTTTTTGGCACTGAGAGGGTGCAGCTCCTCGAGGAGCGCAGGGCGCTGTGGGGCAACTGAACCGCAGCAACTGAACTGGGTATTGAACACATGAAGTCATGAGGTAAACATAGGTAACAAGAATGTGGTGATAAACTTCCAAATTTGGGATAGTTCATAGTTCAATTCATACCATCTATCTCTGGTAAATTTGGGGAGAGTTTATGGTTGCGTCTGCAACATCAGACTCCGTCCTTGTTCATCACACTTTGTTTTCCTGCGTGCCCAGGATGTTGAGGTCTTTTGTGAGAAGATCCGTTCGGGTAAAGCCGCCCAGGCCATGTGAAGAGCCGTACCAAAAATCAAACGTGGCCTGCAATGCACCATATTTGGTGGGATGAAATTTGGGTGTGAAATACAGGGGATCAGTGTCTTGACAGCCAGATGCCACAAGGCGATACTTTGTCATTCAAAAGATGGATTTCAATCCCATTCCCATTATCAGGTTAGATCAGAGATCTCTGAGATGATCTCTCTAGGGAGATTTCTGATGGCAGTGGAAGAACCGGCACTGGCATTTTCATCTTTGGCGATCTTGATCTTATAACTTTTCAGATAATTTTGGAGTTTTTTTTGGAACTTCCAATCTTTCTAGCGCCAGCTTCTAAGACTCAAGTTCTATCAGGTAGGTCTATGTTTGCCACAGAACTCCACCTCGCACAGCTATGGATCAACAGCAGCAAAAATCAGCCTCACCCCACATTTTGCTTGTTTGACACCACCCAAATTTGAGCCTTTGAGGACATTTATAGTCCTTTTTTTTTTCCTTGGAAACGATGGATATTTTACCCCCAAATCTGGAGGTGTCCTGACAGCCGAGTCACCCCCTGTCACCTTGGTTGCCCCTTGCGCCCTCAGCTTACCGAAGACTTCATGATCTTCGCGCGCTTAGAGGCGCCACGAGTGGAGTATTGGTAGGTTTGACTTTGGGATGTTTGGACAGATGCAACTTGTGATGGATTTGGATGGATGACGGATGTTGACGGGGCATGTCATCTTCTTTTATTGGTGAAGTTGAGAATGGCCACATCGAACATTGAGGCCCTCATTGCCGGTTTGGGCGAGGAGGAGGTGAGGGCGGAGATGGTTTTGGCTTTGCCACATTAATAGAAAAAGTCATCCCCAAGATAGAAAGGTAAATCCTTCGGCTAAAATAGTAAACATTCACTTTTCGGCATCTTTTTGGGGACTATATACATGAATTACTATACATTCCTAAGTACCCCAAACAAATCCGTGGGCTGGGGGGTCTTTAATTTGGGACATTTCGATCTTTTCTACGGGGTTGGTTTTAGGTGGGTGCTTCGAAAAAAATCGTGTTGCGGTACTAAAAACCAGGTGCTGATGACTCATCCCGTGAGCCACGCTGCCAGTGCTTCCGACGAGCGAAAGCATATGTCACCAAAGGTGGTGCTGATGGCATCATGATCCACTCCAAGGAGCCTTTGCTCGCAGTTCTATTGCTTGTGTGATGAACTGTAGGGGAGTCGATGCAGAGAGCTAGATGATACCCTAATATACCCTATGAATGGGACCTTCTCAACTTTGGTCATGATCTGCTTCCGTCGCAGCAAGCTGCAATCCCTTCCCCATATATATATATATATTACTATATTATATTACATTACATTACATTACATTATATTATATTATATTATATTATATTATATGTCTGGAAACCCTGGTTTAGTATTGGATCTATTCATTTGGGGGGCCAAAGGGGTGATATTGAATATTAGAGATTGCGATGGATTGCCATGGATTGCCCGCAGGAAAAGCATGGGGATGACATTTTCTCTTTCATGCGCCGGTGGAGAGCAGAGGCCTCTACGAATTGCTGCGATTTGGGGGTTGAAATGGGGTGTACCATGAGGATTATCCCACGAATGGACAAGTTCTCACCCATAACTATTGTTGGGGAACTTACTAATCAGGGTTGTAAGATGTTGTAAATACCCTCTGGTAAACTAACATAACTATGGAAAATCACCATTTTTAATGGGAAAATCCACTATAAATGGACCATTTTCAATAGCTATGTTAGTTTACCAGAGGCTTGCCAATCGCTTTCCATCCTGAAAGTCGCCACGATGGCTTGGATGAAGCCATCCCATCACAGGAGGGGAGAGGTTGACCTGTGGAGCCGCAACTTCGACCTTTGAACTGCATGACAATATGCCATAATATGCCATTCCTGGAAGCCCAACCCAAACCAAACAGAAATAAGCAATGGTTACCTGTAGCTGTGGTGAAGAATCCCTACAAAACAGCGGTTGTTTGGGGAAAGCACCATTTCCGGTTCTTTGGGGTTCCAAGTTCTCATCAGCTGGAGGTACTCCAAAAGGGATCCTCTCCTATTAAAATGTAACCCCGACTGAAATTGACCAGGTTGATATCATTTGATATCAACATTAATACAATCTTTTCAATATCCTAGTATGCTCTATGATCTATGAATGTATTAATCCTTTTTCATCTCCTTTCGCACTTCTCCTGCCCTCAACACCCGGCGCGGCTTTCCAGTTCCCCACTGTGCCGGTCATTGCGGTGCCGACCACCTACAATCACGTGACAGAGGATGAGCTGCAGGACGCACCCCCTGTTGATTTGATTGATATAGGGGGCTTTGCTAGCTGATTGTGGATATTAACACTGGCTGATTTTTAGTGGGCCCACTTCCATCCTGGTGGGAGTGGGTGCTTGATGCACATTTCCTACACAGGGCATATGGACATGGCGGATTTTGATTGTTCGAGGAAGCCGGTGTGAATGTTTGTATCTATGCGAACCAACTGCCTGGGTCTCAGAGGGTCGCAGAGGTGCCCGGAGGCAGGAAGTGATGGACCCCATTCCTCTTGGCTCCAAGTCTTGTTGGTTACACTCGTTGGTTGATGGGAGTCCAGTTGGGATGCATTTTTGTTGGGTTTATGTTTTTTCCAAGCGCTCTGACACGAGTTCGTGTCAGATTCTCACCAAGCAACCGGAAAGATTCATGGGCTGTAGATTCCACATTGTCGTATACCTAGTTGTTTGATGGGGGTTGGCCTTTCCCATTTCACCATTTCACCCTCTGCAGATTCGCCATTTCACCATGATTCATCTCGAAATCCAAGTGCTTTCCCAGCATAAAACCAGGATAATCCTATGATATCCTATGTTAGTAGGGTATAGTATTGGTATACATCGGTATACCAATCTTTTCCACAGACTCCTCTCCATCCCATCCCTTTGAAGCTCAGGCTTCGAGCTTCATACATGGCCATGTTCGGAGGCCCAGAGGCACTGCTCAGAGGTGAAACTTCGAAGGAACGGCGAGATCTGGGACCATGTTGACTACCCTTTGGTAACATGGCAATGGAACATTGACAGGTGTATATATCCGCTTGTATATATATTATACATACAAGAAAACCATCAATAAAGAACTATAATTAGTAACTATAGATGATTGTAAATGAGAAAGGGGGAAGTTTTTCCCATGACCCAAGGTCCATTGCCAATGTCAAAAACGGCCACACTTTTTTTTTGCGTTTGCTGGCGCCGCTCAGGCTTGACACAGCTACCAAGATCCTGGCAGCAGGAGCAGTGGGGATGTATTCTTTGTAACCCCAAAGGATTGTGATTAATGGTAGATGATGGCTTTGGGGATGTTTTATTATCCTTTGGATAATCTTTAAAAAATGATAGATGATGGGAAAACTACATATCTAGTCTTATCTAGTATCATGGTTTCAATAACTAGTAATCCCGTGATTTATTCATCAATATTTTCAGGATGGAATACATATGGATGATAGGAAATTCCCCGAATTTCTGTCCAACTTTTCCATCTGAAATGCTGACGTGGCCGCATTGTGGTTCATTCAATTGCTGTGTGGTTGCAAGAAGTAGCAAGTTGCACGCGGAGAGTCTAGGAGTCTAGCAGCATGTGGCAGGTTTCTTTGCGACCTGTATCGGTTTTGGACAGATTTCCCCCCAACTCCAAAACATAATGTCGTGAGAAACAGGCGATGGTGTGGCCAGTGCGGCAATTTCATGAACGTAGTGTAGCCTGCTACTTTCGGAGGATCATCCAATCACCACTTTGTTTCAGATGATGCTTGACACATCTTGACACCTTCAACAAAGTTCCACAGTTCCACTTGGTTCATTCCTGTTTGGCGGTACGCCATGATAGGAAGACCATCATCTCTTTCCGTCTCAAGGCTTGACCGTGTGGTGAACCCCTTGGCCCTTCAGGACGTTCAAAGGAGGTCGACGGTCAAATTCTTCCGTGCGGGGCCCCAAGGGGCCCCAAGGGATCCCCAGGGCCGGACTTGTGGAACTGGGACCGAAAAACTGATTCCCCGGGCATGGCTCAATAGATCTCAATAGTATTGATCCCCCGGGCTTTCATGGTTGATCATTGATCATGAAACATGAGTCTTGCCCAGTTCTGGGTGCAAAAAGGTACCCTAATCTTGAGTAGCTTTATAACGAAATTCCACTATGTATGGTTTTCCTGAAGGATTCCCGTTGCTATGTGATCCATAGTCCGGTAGTAATCGTATGAGAGGTAACCCTGCTGATCATTGTTGTGACTCAATTTCCAATATACCGATCATTGATAATTCATAGTGTAGTAATATCCTCAACAGATCATTGAGACATTCCCGCTGAACTCATGAACTCATGAAGCCAGAAGACCCTGGGAACCTCTTCATTGAGCTATTGGCAAGAGTCAAATGTCAAAGCCTCAAGATGGTCCAGTGAAAGGGTGGTTGGGCAGGATTTTTGAGGATTTACCCTTACCCATTGTAGCCCGCAATTGAAATCTAACTTTTTCTGCAGTCCCCAAAAAGCAATGATCCTCGCAAAACCGTGCAGGACCAAGCAGATGATTTCGCTGATTGACGACAATACGGCAAAATCCAGCCGTCAAATTTTTGAATTGACAAAGGACCCAAAACACACTGCTGTTTGAGTTCAAAATATTCTGCACGTGCTGCAGTTTCACTGCGAATACCTGCAACTGACTTTCTTGGCAATGGATTTTGCAAGTACAGCCCACAAATTCTAAGTCGCCCCCTGATCAGTCAGCTCTTCTTTGACTTTGGGCTCTAAATCTCTCTTTGGCAGGATCCGCAACATGTTTTCCAGAATTCGGTATTGCACGATGCCGTGTCCAACGCGCTTGCGCCGCTAGGCCGTTTTGGGAGTTGCACGGAAAAAGTTTCTTGGAACTCTTGGATCATGGTGATCCTCCAAAAGTCCAATCTCTACCAAGTTCAATCAAGAAGAATGTTTTGAAAGTCTTTGGCAAACGCGTGGTTGAAGGTTTGTAGTTGTCTGGAGTGAAAGTTCTCCTAAGTCTCTTTAATCTCTAGTCGTAGCAGCCTGTGATGCATCCAGAGACCCCTGATAGCATAAAGTGGGTGTTGAAAGTCCCTGCAAGTAGCAAGAAGCCTTGACCAGTTTTGATTCGAACGTCTACATAGTCACTCATAGTCCATGACTTTCTGCGTTCTAATGTTTAGATTGGTCCATTAGGGCGTCTGGGATAAGTTGAAGGATACAGTATCTTTGAAAGATTTTGAAAGCATTAAAAAACAGTACAAGATATCCATTGATCCATTGGGTGAATCGCAGTGAAGCCCAGTGCCACGCAACATCGCAACATCGCCACCTTTCCAGTGAGGAGGAACAGATCCGAGAACGTCTCAAGGTGTACCACTCCCAGATCGATGGCATCACCCCGTTCTTCAAGGAGGTGCTGACAGAGGTGGACGGCACAGGGAAACCCGACGAGGTCTTCGGCCTGATCTCGGAGGATTTGGATAAGCTGTAGGCGCAAAGCCCGTGGGGAGGTGGAAGGAAGGTTGCGGTGGTGATAGGAGTTGGAGGATTTATGGATGTTTGGATGATGACTTATTGGTGGCTTAATGATGGTTTAATAATGGTTTAATGATGTTTAATGATGGTTTAATGGTGAAGGTGGCTGATGATGATGATGATGATGATGATGATGATGATGATGATGATGATGATGATGATGATGATGATGATGAGGACGACGACGACGACGGCGATGATGACGATGCCGATGACGTGCACGTTTGGCCTGGGTGAGGTGGAACACGGCCAGCAAACGGTGCTTTTAGAAAGGCATGACATCATGACATCAGCGCCCCTGGATGATCCATGGCACCCTCGATCAAAGGTGGGATCCCCGTGGCGACGCTGGGATCGTCAATTCTCTAAGGCTGAGCCGAGGCGAACAGCTTAGGTTTTTCGGATGTCTTACTGGTCCTGCTGAACACTGAATTTGGTATCGCATTTGGGGTTTATGCTTTCCTTAATCGACCAGCCAATCCATGAAATCGCACTTGGTCCATGAATTTTGAATCCATTTCTTCAGGCCTGTCGCAGGGCAGTCAGCAAAATGACGTTCTTACGACTGGCCACAGGTCATATTGGTCCTGTGCTCATCCCCATGTAACATGGCACAAGCCGGATGTGCAAGGATCTGACTTAGGCTTCACGCTGAAGCATTTTCAGTGCTGGATTGCTGGTGTAAGGTGTGCTTCTGCCCCTGGTTTTTCTATGGCGAATTCATCGGAAATCCTGATCCCAACGAGCTAAAAACAGGGAAATGTTCCATCAATCCAGTGGCGTCGACCAGTGGTCGGCACAGCAGCGATTTTTCAGGCAGTGGAGGGGGTTTCAACCACGCAATAGGCAGCACCCGGACCTGCATGACTTGAAGCATCTCGAAACCAAGCGGGAAATGTCCATCTGCAGGATCTGTTGTGGTGGGGAAAACACAATTGGTTTGGAGCTTGGGGTTCCTCCATCTTTGGCCACACATCTTAGACGCCTTTGGGTGGTTTCACAGCTTCAGTTGCGAATTGAAACTTCACTCATCCTAGATGAGTTGATTTTGCAAACATGTGGGTTTGTCTGAAAATGCAATATCCATCAATATCCCAGTCCAAATAAATTGCAATCAATCTGTCCTTTAAATCATTTAAATCCACCATTTTTCTAACACTGCAGGATGGCTTATTCTACTGATTCTACTGATTTTTTATTGTTCAACCACCAACAGCCGAAGTCATCAGCGGTTTCCACCAGTGCGAAAAAAGTGACTCCACTACTGCGAACCGCTTCCCCTCCGCGCTATCCAAACACCAAAGACCGCCAACAAAAAGGTCCTGGATTCGTGGGAGGCCCCCGAAAAATGGCACTGATGGCGTATTGGTGAGTCAGCCGTCAGCCATAGTCAGCCTCCTTGGCAGTCAGCATCCCTGTGGCCATGTCCACAAGAGCAGACACCTCGTTGGGCCCCAATGTGATGTTCATCAGCAAACCATGTCCCCAGTGGATTCTCCAGCCAACAAGAGGGCTACCACGGAAAATCGAGCCAACCCCCCGTGTTTGGGGATGACGAAAAACAGCGAAAAACACCTTTGATTTCGTATTTGAGGTGATGAACATCCATGACTACCAGCTATTTTGAATTATTTTGATGATTTCTGACGGGAAACCAACAATTTTCGATAATTTTCGGATGAATTTGAGAAACACTGCCACATACTGCCACCCTTTTTTATGGCGAGCTTTTTGGGGTACCCTCTGATAGTTTAACATAGCCATGGAAAACCACCTTTTTTAATGGCACAGCATCTAATGGGCCATGCTCCCAGCCGCCATTCGCCAGCCGACTTTGTGAAGTGGGACAAGCTCCCTGCTGGAGTGAGCACTATGGCGATGGAGCCTTGACATGCCTTGACAATGGGCTTTCAGGGTCATCCATGGATGTTTTGACCAACAAAAATGGTGGTTTCAACATGTTTCAACATGTTTCAACATGTTTCAACCAAGAAACATAGATACTGCAACCATGACAAGCATGGTGATGTTTAAGAACCAAGTGGTGATTTTAAAACAAGATTCCACTGACATTTTATTGACAAGGGATTTTTGCCATGTGGTGTTTTTTTTTTTTTTTAAACCTCTTTGAATGCTGACTTGGTTGATGGTCCTGAGGATCAGCCACCGGCGAGTCGTCATTTGGCCTATAGGCATTGACTGGGACCCAACCTATCATGGCCAGCCACTGGATCCGCTACTTTTTTGTTGACGACTGGATCCAACTGTCAATATATGAGTCAAGACTGTTAGGATGTGTCGGGATCAGTGATCATGATATTTTGATGCACATTTGTTGTATCACTTTTTGGATATTTTTAAGGTGATTTGAAGGAGACAAACTCCCATGGTTTTACTTGCAATCTAGAGCTGTGTCCCCCTTTGGTTAATGGCTCCAAATTGTTATGACTCAGTATTAATATTGATGCATGTTGACGCCATAAATATATTGTTTGATTCAATTATAGTGGGACCCGCTGTTGACCCATACCAAAATATCATATCGTTTTTGATTATATGACCATGATATCCCCATGATGGTTCGTTTTACAACGCCAATTATGTTCCGGAATTCCCAATAAATGTTGGTAACATTGGTAACATCGCAATTTTGGTTTGTTAAACGTATCATATATGGTTAAACCATCTCAAACCCAATTTTGATGGTTCGATCCAATTTGTTAAACGCATCATACATTGGTTGAACCCAGGGGACAGGGCTCTAGCCACCTTGCAGCAGCCAGCCCTTGCTTTCGCCAGTCGCTTCATGGGCCATGCGTTGCCATGGCGCGGAACGGCGCAGGATGGTATGGTGGGGACACCGACAGACTCAAAAGTGATGGGAGATATCACCATCAATAGTTGTGGCTATATCCAACAAAAAAATGGGATATAATGGAGTTTGACGAGACATAACAATACATAACATATATATATATATTATAATATAATAATAATAATAACAATAACAATAATAATAATAATAATAATATATATATATTGTATATGTAATGTACATATACAAAACCAACAATTACATAGGATTGCCCTTTGAAACTTTGGTAATCAAACATGGCGGGCCGCGAAATCTCTGAACTAAATGGTCAGGTCACTGGGAGAATCATCGAACGAAATGGGGGATTTTCCCACCAAAAGATGATCCTATCCATGGTCGATGGGTGCTGGCAATCTGCCATGGATTTCCCAAGGTCTTACAAGGTGGTTCCTTCGGAAAGGTGCGGTTTTTCTGCTGTCCGAAACAAACCGCTTTGCTGTCAGTTGTCTGGCATAAATTGCATCAAATCCGAGTGGTTCATGTTCTGCTTTTTTTTAACTGGCACGGCTAGCAGCCCATGAATTGCCCCGCAGATGCTACGATCCAATCTTTGCAAGAGCAAGGAGAGCAAACTGAGATCGGTACCCGACCCTCGGGCCCCCGGGCTGGTGGCGGTCAGATAGTGGATAGTGGCGAGGTGTTGACTTTTCCTGCAATCGGCCAACAAGACCCTTAAGTGCCTTTTTTGGGGGGACAGTGCCAAACATAACTTTTTGGCTGGTACTGGTACTAGTAGAACTGTTGTTGAACCCACCAAAAGGTCATTTTTCAGGAAATCTGGTGATTCGATCCCAATTTTTCTTGGATTAGGAAGGAGTTATAAACCAAGAACTCCCTCCATCATGAACCTCTAGCAGAGACTGGCACTCCCATCGCTGCCCTTTGGCTTATCTTGGAAGGCGATCCTGCCTTTGTAGGTCTTGCTGAAACTTCATGCTGAAAAACATGTCGAAGAGCCAACCATCAGAAGGAACATGGAGATAGATATGAGTCTCAAAAAATAGAAAGAATCAACTGTAAAGTAATACATATATGTATATATATATACAATTGCTGTAATCCATTTAATATTACAGCAATAGCCTTGCAGGGCTTGTCGGCCCCAACATTTGCATTCGGTGGATCTATGTTCCAAGCTGATGCAGCTGTCCATCAAGTGGCCTAATCCCGATGAGCAGCGCAAAGAGGAGCCGTTGCGGAAAGGAAGGGCGCCGAAGCGTTGCGGACTCATACCTTTGGGTAAGTTAACATAACCATGGCCCATTAAAAGATGATTTCCCTATCAAAAATGCCGATTTGCCCATAGTTGTGTGAATTACCAGAGGGTAAGCCATTAGTTTGTAAAGGTTTCTTCATAGGAGCGGAGACAACTGGAAAAGTCACAGCTTTCCGCTTTTGATAAAATCACCAAAATGGAATATCGGGGTCTTTGTTTCCAGCTAAGAAATGTAGCCTCTCGAGGCTGGAGTCTGGAAGCATTCCCATTCTTGCAGTGTGGCAGTGTGGCAGGAATCATTCCGTGGGTATTGGGTATGGGTCAAAATGACCCCAGCAAACTGGATGCTTCACCAAATATGTAGGTCCATTGGTTCCGATGTTTGTCTTACCAAGCTACGACTGCACAACTGCGCGTTTTCCAACTGCACAGTGACCAGAGGAGAAGCTCAAGGCGCTTCAGGAGACGGGATGGGAGTCACCAGAAATCCAGACCAAGGTTGTTGTAATCTCCCAGCTCCAAGAAACTCCATTTTTAGTAGTGGATCACTGTGGATCTCTCCATTTTTGGGGCTTCCGTTCCATAAAGGTTCAGCTGCTTCATGGCGCAGGACTTAGGCTATGAGCCGAAGGACGAAGACTCGGACGTTGTGTGGGTCTCAAGCGCATCAATCTTAAGATATCTTGATCAATGTCACGGGTGGGAAGTGAAGTTCTTCTTCTTATTATTATCATCATTTTTCATCATGCTTATTAATTATTTTTTATCAGTTATTAGTCATTGATTATCAACTATTAATTATTGATAATTGATTATTACTTGTTAATATTTTTGTTTTTATTTTTCTGAAGACCTCATTGTCTTAATTCCTGATCATTGCGGCGTTTTTTTTTTTGTGGCTCAAGATGATGAAGATGATGATGATGATGATGATGATGATGCTGATGCTGATGATGATGGAAAAGACGAATAATAATAATAATTTAATGATGATAACAATAATCATGATAATAATAGTAATAATAATAAGAATAAGAATAATAAGAATAATAATAAGAAGAATAACAATAATAATAAGAAGAAACATTGCAAATGTGTCAAACGGCCAATTGGTGTCGATATCTTCAAAGATACAGCCGTACAGTGTGTAGCGATAGAATCCCTTAAACTTGATTGGTCCCAGGCCCAGGAACCGCTTGGACCCAACAGTTTTTAGAGGCAAAGTCCATCTCCACTTCCATGGCTTCCATGGTCATGGCTCCACGGGCCCATGATTTCTGGATTGGTGGCCCAAATTTGTCGCTGGTCGCCACATCAACCCTTCGATTCTTTGGCTCAAGGCTGCGTCAAATTTTGGCTCCGTCAGAATCGATCGCGCGGGGAGGGGCGGGGGCTGCATGTGCTGTTCCCTGGCAGGACTTTTTCAGATCCAATGGGATTCAATTCGATGCAGTCCTGTGAAGTGCGTGGTTTGCGAGTAGCCCTCCAGCAAGCCAACATCTACATGGAAACCATCGGAAAAACTTATACAGTAAAGTTTCTTGAGGAAAATGAGTCAACATGATCTACAAATAGTATCAAATAGTGGGTTTTCCGTATCCCGTATCCTTCGTCTTCCGAGCCAAGGACCATGGTCTATTTGAGCGACATCCAAGACTTTGAGACGGCAGCCCAAGAGCTCTTCAAGCAACAACCACTGAGGATCCCGTTTGTGGCCACAGGTTGCGCCAGCCACAAATGGTCTCAGTTTTCTTAAAACCAACAGAAATGATTCCTGTGGTTTAGATTTTTATGTCTATTATTACTTATTACAGTATTCAGTATGAGTACTTTTCAACTCAGTGATGTTGTAAGATACTTGTATTGATGTTCTTCGCCTTGGCAAACATGTTACAAAAAGCACCCGCCGCAGTCCGACACAGGACGCGATATCTGGTGAAGTATCGGCACAAAGAGGGCAAGGTCCGTGGGCCGAATGTGGGAGGTTTTGACCAATGGAGCGTTCTTTGTGAAAGATCAAGATCATTTGTGTTGGATGGTTTCAAATTGGTACGTCCCCAATTTTGCCAGTACCTTCAAAAAAATCCAGGGATAATTTATATAGACTCAAGTCAACTCAAGTCGAAGATCAACTTGGGTTGTTTTGAGACAGCCTAATGAATATGGTAACCTCAAAGAGCAATGCCAGGTGGTGCTGAAAGTGACCAATGATAGGATATGTCTGGAGCTTGGGGCGGGCTTGGTTGGGACCTGCTGGTGAGGATGAACAGTATCATGAGGAATCACAGATGCAGAGATTTGATAGTGACCGACTTAAAAAGAAATGGCTCACTTGTGTTCTAAAGAATAAATAACGGTCCAATAACAATTGTGCGTGGCTGGAATTCCGTGTGTTCATTTGCTCAGTTGTAGTGCCACACTTGAAACAGGTATGTTATTATTATTATTTATTATTATTTTTATTTTTAATAATAATTATTATTAATTATTATTATTCTTTATGATTATTGTTATTATTATAATACATATATTTATATATATATATATACAGTTTGTTTATGTTTGTTTGCTTATCATCTCTTTGGCTACAATTTCTTCATTTCCGATTGACACCAGTTGCAGGATTCCAGCTGGAATCCCAATCAGGCCTGAAATTCAAGACTGAGCTCATTGCCTATTTGAAACATGTAGCGCCTCGGACATCAGCGGCGCAGCTCGGGTTGACGATTTGGAAGTTGAGTTTGAGCCAGACCCCAGCCTGGAACAAGGCCTCAACTCATGTAGTATAAAATAAAATCCATCATTCTAAATGTGGACCCAAGTTAGAAATACCCCAATATTTCGAAGCTTTATAGCCTCCCCTCAAAAATGTAGCCGCATTGATCATGGTTTATAATCAGATTTACCAAGTTGAGGGACGATCACTCATGACCACCAGCCATCCCTACGGTGCCCCATTGCTGTCCTAAGGAGAGTTTCACGCAGAAGTTTGTGGGCTGGACAGCGACGAAGGAGTTGACCATTTGGGGTGGCAGGATAGGGTGATGCCAAGGTGGTTCCGACGAACAAGGGGATTTGGTTAGGAGAACTTGCGAAATCAGAAGGCATTTCAGACTCTAGGGCCTAGAGGGAAGGTGGGAAATGATGGATGCCCCCTGATTTTGTTCGTGCAGCAGATTGCCATCCATGCCAGCTGGCCGTTTTAGTCCCTGCTAGATCTGGCAGCGAATCCATCAATGATGAATCATCCAATGCACCGTGTATACCGTGTGGTGTAGGCAGACACAGGCACGTTGCTGGCCATGGCCTTTAATGGGGCCAACCCTTTCAGCTTCTGGTAGACTGTTTCAACTTCTATTGTTACCCCAATGTTACCCCAAAAAGATAGAACAGTCATTTACCACTGTCCAAAAGTAGGATTTTACATCTCTGTCTTTTTGGTTTGCAAAAATCATTGACTCCATTCGGGGATGACCCGCCAGGATCTTTCAAAAGTAGAGGAGCTGGACGCCGAATTGGAGGACCAGCCAGATATCGAAGTATAGCTGGGGGATTTTCCAGCCACGGAGCTGATGACACCTCTGAGCTTGCAGCGATTATTGGGTAAAAAATAACGCCATCTAACTCGTTGATGCTGGCAATGCGATCATATATACAGTAGTTACTGGCTTCTTTCCACATATGTTTCAAGATTTTTCAACTACAACCTGTCAAACCAATCAGATATATTGGATAACCAATGAATGATTGATATTTTTTTAACGATTTTCAACCATTCTTCACCACATTCAATGATCTTTGGCCAGTGCCTGGATGCCACTGCCTAGGATGCCAAAAAGGCTGCGAAGCCTAAACCAACGGCCAAGTCCAAGCGTCGGAAAGGCCAGGGGAGGGGGGGTTGACCAAGAAAAATGGAGGAAACTCCGTGGTTCTGAACGTAGTGAATGGGGAAATGACCCACACGAACAAAATTCACAATAATTATGGTGATTTCACACAATAACAATAATTAATGGTGATTATTAAGAATTAATGGGTGCTTAACAAGAATCCCATTCCACCCATTCTCTGAGAGAATGCACCAGTAAGAATCTTTTTTTTTAGCTGGTGGATTTCGGGGTACGTAATGGTACCATGACAAATCCACAGAAAAGGCCATTCATAATAATGAGGGTTTAGCCAACAAACATGGACCGTAAATGGTGGACCGTAGCATGGAGAATTTTGTAGGTCAACCTTGACATGTCCCAAAGTCGCTTCCTGTGGCTTCAAGATGTTTGTCCAATCTGTCTACCGAGCATTTACAGTAGTGTATTCACTCTCTCTCTCTCTCTCGTTCTCTCTCTCTCCCTCCCCCTGGAAAACCAACCAACAAAATAAAAAATGGATTAGAGTACCAGGGATTGCCGAAACAATGGATTACAGTACCAGGGATTTCCGATTAGAATGGTCCCCTGGTAAATCCACTTCTTGATCCTGACCCAGCCATGGCACCATCTGGGGCCCGACCTAACAGGCTAGACTCTCTAGACCGCCGACGCCCGGATCGAACCCATGCGGGATGAAAATGGCGTGAAGCGGTGTCGAACCATAGGTTTTTCGTTGGTAGAAGTGAACTACATGACTAGTCCCAGATGAGAGAGTCATCGGTGGATCGACATATCAGACTGGGACCTGGCCCGTTGGCACGACATTATTCGTTTTTAAAGCAAGCAACTCAGGTTTTGGGAGACTGGATGGCGATGGATTCTGGATCATACTTCGCCCATACCTCTAACGCTGGCACGCTGGCTATTAGCTGTTTTTCTATCCCATCAATGCCAAAATACGGCTTTGTCTTCAACAGTTCATGGCTGATGATCATTGAATCATTGTGATCATCATTTCCCCAGGTAGAAATTCATTGAAACTGCCACGCTGAGGTGTTGGAGCTGGAGTTGAAGGAGGATGAGGCCTGGCGATGTATAACTTTCATGGGATCCTCAGTTGATGTATTAGTTGATGTTAGGCTCGAAATTTAATGCACACAGATATATATATATATACACATACCCATATATATATTATGCATAGTATATATGTATATACATAGCAATCTGCAAAGGATAGAACAGTAAGATCCTAAAATAGTGGTGAAAAACATTTCTATATATACATCATTAGATGAACTATATTGGATAATATAACCCCTCCAAACTAGCCAATCAACCAGGATGATCAACCCCCGAGCCATGGCAGGCTGATCAAGCTGCAGGTTGGGGGGACCTGGAAATATTCCTTGGGAGTGGAAAACGGGAGATGATGGGCCCTACATGGGGATTGAAATCATCAACAAATGCGATTTTCATCGTTGAAAGAAGTGATTGAACACTAAACATTGGAGATGTAAGGATGTCTCAAAAACTTATGATGGTGTATTGATGATTGGCTGGATCAACACCTGCGATGTGATGCATACACTGATTGATATGAACATCTGTCACTTGCACGTGGGTTTGGGGGGAAGATTGCATCCATTTCGTAGACCCGGGTCCAAGTAGCTTTCCTTTGTTTTGCCAAGGCTTCCAATCTTTGGTAGATGTCATGCAGGCGCAGCTTGGTTTGCAGCACCTTGAGGCTTTTCCTTTTCTTTTTTGAGAAAATAAGATGTCTGCAATATGGCTTCATGTCAAGGTTTCCAGCTGGTGGTGCTACCTTTATTAAATCCTCAGTATCTGTTGGCTTCGATTGTTGCGGAGGATGCTGAGGCTTCAGTCCTGGATGCTTCAGATGTCCACTGAGTGGACGAAGCCCCATCATGGACACCCAACTAATGCGATTCAGCGGCGAGAGAAAGATCTTCAACTCCAGCAGTAGAAACATGTAGAAACCTGTAGAAACATGTAGAAACTCTGAATCTCGAGATATCTTGAGATATCTTGAGATATCTTGAGATATCTTGAGATATCTTGAGGTATCCTCAGGAAAACCTCACGACCGCCCAAATTTGACGAGGTCACATCACTAGGGGACCACCTAGGGGACCACCTGCCCAGGTGCTGGTTCTCACGGACTTGGAGCTGTGTTACTGGCCTTGACCTCAGCAAATTTGAAAAAACACTGGGCATTTCTCAGTTTTTGCCTGACGTTGAAATATGGATTGCATGTTGAATATGGATGATGTTAAACATATAGATGCTGAACATAGATGTTGTGTGATTATGTATGATTGTCATGTTAAGTCATTTCCTTCGATCCTTTTTGTGCAGTGATGAGGCCTCCAAGTACCTCTTCGGAGGAGGAGGTGGCACAGCTGGAACTGGCATAGTCTGCACGGTGGTTCTTTCCAGTGGAGGTCCATGGTGGATTCTTTCCACTAGGAGGGAACACTACTCCAAAAATTGTCACCTTTTGCCCTGGGAATGGTAGAGTCTGTTGAAGTCTAGAAGTAGAAGATAACCTGCTCAATAGACTTTTTGTGGATGACTCTGCATTGTTTCTCTTTGTCCCTTGCGATGCTGCAAAACCGGCCTGGAACCAACAAAAGTCGGGAACGTAGTTTTACGGGACCCCCTATCAAAGGCTTCTTGGAATAATACCGTCCCCCAAATGCAACCACCGAACAAATCTAAGACTAAAATCAGGGTTTCCTTGAGGGTGTTTATTCTAGACGAGGAGAGGGATTGACTGGTTCAAGTACTGAGTTGCAGAGTTTTTTTCCTTGGTGTTTTCCAAAATTCAAATCCTTGGATGCCAGAATGCGATCATGAGAGTTTATCCCGTTTATCCCATTTCTAGATTATTCTTTTATGAAGCCAGACCATTTGGGATCATGGATAATCATGGTATCCTTGGAAGAGTTCCAGCATTGCCGAACGCGAGGCCCGTTGTGGTTTGCGACAGTTGGCATCTGCAGTTTGGAGCTTGGGGTCTATGGAATTTACCCTCTGGCAATTTAACATAGCTATTGAAAATCACCATTTATAGTGGATTTTCCCATTGAAAATGGTGATTTTCCATAGTTATGTTAGTTTACCAGAGGGTATATGAATTGATCACCCCTTGGAGAAACACTAAGGGAGGCTAAGGGAGGCTCGTTGGAAACCCCCGAGGTTTTAGCCAAGATTCGCCATGAGTCTCGGGATCGCCATGCGGACACCCCATCTTTTCAACACAGATTTCATAGAACTGCCCTGTAGTTTGTACATCATTGTACCATGTTGATCCATGTTGTATCTGTAATATGAGTGCCATAGTGGTTTCAACCCATTTATAAATGGGATAAGCTCATGAAATGGGGACCTACTGAGTTCCCTACGATACGAGATTTCAATCTCTGGCACTGCGAGGCACGGCGTCGTGGAATTCTGGCAGCACAGCGGGTCCTGAGGAGATCCAGTCGTCATGTTCGGGACGGGAAAACCAAGGGCGAACCATGGTGGAAAACCCATATTCTATTGTTAGTTTTCCCCAGGGGATCCTTTCATTTTTGGAGCAGCATTACGATTTACATTTTGATACGATATATATATATATATATTTCAACATATTTCAGCCTTTTGTTGTATCATGATGATAGGATTCAGTTGCAACCCTTTGTAAAAGGCATGGGCCAAGTCATGGTTCCAAAAAGGGATGGTTTGCTCCTGAACACTGACCAGTTAATCTGTGGTTCACAGGGTGCGTAAACATGATCCATGCCCAAGTCAAGTGATCTATGGTTGGTTAATGTTGGTTAATGTTGGTTAATGTTGGTTAAATCCTTTAACTCTCAATGAATTTTGGCAACCTCTGAAAAAATCTGTCGGTGATCTCTCCCTTTTTTGCCCGAAAGCTCCTGCGACGGGTTCCTTCCAAAGAATGGCTGCCAATATATATATATCTTTATCGTCATATTCTGATCTTTATTATCATTTTTTCCTGATCTTTACCATCATCTTTTCTGATCTTTATTATATATTATCTTTTCTGATCTTTTCAGATCTTTTCAGCAGCTCTTTTCGGGTCTTTCCGATCTTTCTGACAATAATAATAATCATCATCATCATCATCAACGCCATCCTCTCCATCCTCTCCATCATTATCATCACAAACATCATGCCATCCCTTTTTATCATAGATATTTTACCCTCTGGTAATCGTTTACATAGCTATGGAAAGATCCACCATTTTTCATGGGAAAATCCACTATTTCTATGGTCATTTTCAATAGCTATGTAACAAATTACCAGAGGGTAAAATCCTATTGTTGGAGGTGGTAAATGGATGTTCATCCCCTTAAAAATGGTATTAATAGGTCTTGATCCATAGCCATATTGTCTCTTGGAGTCCGACTTGACTTGGCCCAGGAGCGTGGATCCCAAGCTCGTTTCCAAGTGTCCCCTGACCTGTCAGCCTGAGGCTCGTTTTTTGCCGCAACTGAAGATGTGGATTCCAGTGTCAAGAAAAGCAGGATATGGCCAGTTACCCTCTGGTAATTTAACATAGCTATGGAAAGATCCACCATTTTTAGTGGGAAAATCCACTATAAATGGGCCATTTTTTGTAATAGCTACGTTAAATTACCAGAGGGTAACAATTACAAACCTGGTTCATGTGGTAAACACAACAGGAAACCATCCCCAATGACTCCAACACTGGTCAGGAGGTGGGTCCTTCCAAAGGCCGGGAGCTGGGCGGATGGAATCTGTTGAGCACGCCCACAAAGCCTTGTTGGGAGTGGTTCTCCCGGACAATATATTGCATAATTTGCACAATATAAGATAATATAAGTACAAACAGTATATGAATATAAAATCATACATAATCACACATAATCACGCATAATCATACATAATCATATCATGTATGTACGTATATATATATATATGTGTATAATATAATATATAAATATATATATGTATACCGTATTATATACCTAGATACAAACGCACTATATTTGGTTTGGTTGAGATCGCTGTAATCCTTTGTGGATGGTTTTTTTGGGATGCAGCAGTCGTAGGGATGGCTGAAGACACTGCACTTGTGCCGCTTGTCTTGGCTTCAAACCAGCGCGTGCTGGTTGGGGTTCAGCAATTTCTGGTTGGTTCCAGCCTGGGACCCCAGATGCGATGGATGATGCGGTCAACTATGGGATTCTGAAGTAGGGATTTACCCATCGAATTGGTTGGCATTGGTGAAAATCGATCGATCTAGAAACAATCATCGAATGGCATCAAGGGGAAATACACGTTTCACCGAGGTACACCGATTTCTGGAAGCGATGCCGCCCAAGACACGTTTGCAGGTGCACGGTTTTCTCTGGCGATGTCGACCTGGACCCCTGTTGGTTTATAGTTAGATAGGACTGGTTTCATGGAGATTGACGTGAACAATGGGAATCGCTCCATTGAGCCGTAGGTTTGGTTTGGGGATGAAGGTGAGCTGGGCACTGCTCACCTAAAAAAAAGCAAGCCCAGCTCCCATTAGGTCTGAACCAAAGAGTCGTGATTTGCCTCACCCCTTGTAACTACGATATGGTCTTACTCCCAGACATAAATGTCAATCCTCCTTGAAATAGTGGGGTTCCACAGCTGTTTTTTTTTTTAGCTGGCTAAAGCCATAATTAAAGGATGGACGACCAGCCCACACCAGTTTGGGTGGTCCCAGCTAGAGCGGGTGTAGTTCCACCCATGACTGGTCCGGTAGTTGGGCAGGGGGTACCACCTCCAACAATAGGATTTTACCCTCTGGTTATGTCAAAATAGCTATTGAAAATGACCATTTAGAAATAGTGGATTTACCCATTGAAAATGGTGGATCTTTCCATAGTTTTTTGTAAACGTTTACCAGGCCGGGTAATATGCCTTGCCCAACTATTTGTGATAGGCGAAGACCAGACCTCGAGTGGCTGCGTCAGAGGAGCCCTTTTTTTAAGTCGCCGTCCAGAGTGACTCTGTGCCCAAAATGATGGGAATCCAACCCCAAAGCGAACGAGATTGGACACTGACCAGACATAGTGGCTTAAAAAGACAGATACAGTACACTCGATGCAAGATGGAGAAGTAGTGTTCGTCTTTCATTTGCAGTTGTATTAAAACATCTGGATGATCATCAAGGTTGCTTTCTGACATCAAAAAGAGACTTGTGCCTCGATGCGGCCTCTTTTATAGGTCCTTTGGGTTGGGCTCCATAGGTACTCCAGGTACCACAGCTACAACAATTGATGTAATCAGTTCGAGGTAAGAGACGCATCCCTGTGAAAGATCCTGTCACCCATATTACCACATACCACATCTCCGCAGATCTGTGACTTTGTGGCTTCGTGGTCTTATCCGATGAGTCCCATGCAGGCGGAATCGGTGGATACCGCTGAGAAGACGGACAAGGAACTCAAGAACAAGACGAAGGAGGTCCCAACACTGGGATTGAAGTGCTGTGAAAAAAAACATGACAGCCATGGTGCTGTAGGGGGAACAATCCATGGCTATAAAGAATCATTCTATTCCCCGATTCCTCCATTCCCATGTTAAGCACCAGTAAGATGAAAGCGTTGATTTTATTGGTTTAAAATATGTTCAAACGTTTTCAGCCATGACCATGTGTGGACAGGGGTTCGCAGAAAGGCGAAGAAACGAAAAGGACAAAACCATTTCAAAGATTTTCGGACCACTCCCAATGTCAGGTCACTGGTCTTTGCATACAATAGCTGAGTTCCTATGCAAGAACACCCAAATGAAACGCTTGGGCAAGTCTGGCATTGGTTGCGAAATGAAACATAGCATCCACCAGGGCAGCTGAGTGTTGTGACACTGAAGGAGTCTGAAAAAGAAGTTCAAGGAGGCGGGTGTGGGCCACGTGGGCATGGCACATCATGGCACGACATTTTTTGGATGCGCAGGTGCGGCGCAGGCTGGTGCTTTCGAAACAATATCAGAAGTTACCCATTGCCACATTTGTTGCCACTTCTGTTCAGCGGAGGACACATCTTGATGACTTGTTCACGGCTTAGTGGATATGATGCACCAGTTTTGACCATGTTGGTGCCATCTCCTCACATTGGTTTGTTTATATCCTCACGGTTGTTGAAATCAATCAGCATTCTTACTTGTTTTGATCTACCATTGTGATTGGATTCACTATGTTTCCATGACCATTATCATTATTCACCATTCTGATTGGTTTCAATCACGCTTTGTGCAAGTTTCTATAGATGTTTCAATGATTTCTCTGGTTTCCACCTTGGCTGCAGCCCAAAGCCAGTTTTTCGCTTGTCGCAGGCAAGGATGGTCCTAGGAGAAGAGTTCCTGAGAAGCATAAGCACAAGAACAAGAACAAGAATAAGAACAAGCAAAAGGCCCTAGGGACGGCTGGGATGGGGTTACATGACGGGGGATGGGATGCATCATGATTTTGGTTTAGCCAACATGACATGTGATTTTAAGCGAGATACAGTACTTCCCCAGCCGAAAACATGATTTTGTTGATATTTACCAGCAAAACGGGCGATTTCAAAGTGAACTTACTAGAAACATAGGGGAATTCGAGCTGCACACAATTTTTTTCACTACTCATTTATGGGGATTCAATTAGCAAACCATTGGGATTTTTTCACCATCACACATTTACCCATGGAAATTTGATGGTGAATAATGATAGTTGGGATTTACCATTTCAAGGTGATGATGGTTACCCCATGATTACGCGTATTACGGGTATCAGTCACCTGGATAAACTTGAGGTTTTTTAGGCAATGAACCTGGGGATTAGCGAACAACCTGGCATTCCTAACCATCTCCGACCATCCCTGGGATACTGGACCTCAATTGCTGTGAGGATTAATTATTTTCATAGCATGCGGGGGTACCATGAATGTCGTCCTGGGTTGACATTCATGATGACATTCATGGGGCTCAAAAACAGGTGTACCACAATAGACCCTAACTGATGGCAATCAACAGGTGGGATTCTGATGGAGACTTCACCAAGAAAGACTGCGATGTGCCGACAATTACCAGCAAGAATTTTTGGGGTGATTCTGAAAATAGGGTATGCGGGTATTTTTGCTACACACATATTACAGTCATTTTCCCCCGAGTCCACAGATGAGGATTTCAACAGTGAATTGTGCCGGGTGCAACATATTAGGCAAGCCAGGATGTTGTTGTGTAAGGACCCCGGTGAGTCCATAATATCATTAAGCACTCCATGGATCTGGCGAAGTATGGAAATCGCTGATCATGATCACGGATTGACTCACGGCTGGAGGGATCCAGACATGGGGGGCCATTCCAGAAAAAAAAGCACACAGTTCAACTGCCCTAGGACAACAAGTACCGCAAGAAGACAGCCAAGGGAAAGAAAGAAGGAGGAAAGTCACAGAAGGGTATGCCGCTGATGGGTATGAAGTGCCTTGGAAATTGCCGGGGTGGGGGATCCCCCTATTCGTGCCACCGAAAAATGACACCACTTCTGTGGCTCCTAGAGATGTATATCAAATAGCTGGCTTGGCGAAGTGTGTGGTCTTCCCCGAAATCTGGTGTTTGATGATGGTTGACTTTGGGGTCTGATAGATCATCCGTTTTGTTGGATATTTCATTGAAACAACTTGGGACAGAAATTATATATATATATATTATATAATATAGAATTGCATATAAAATTATATATATATAATTATATATATAACTATATATATAACTATATATATATAATATAATATAATATAATATAATATTATATCATATCATATCATATTATATTTATATTATATTTATATTATATTATATTATATTATTATATTATATTATATTATATTAAATGATATGATATTATATTATATTATATCATATTATATCATATTATATTATATTATTTATTATATTATATAACTATACACAGACACACACATATATATATATACATATATATATATTGTGCGCCATATACTTACTGTATCTATCCCAATTTTAGCAGCACCCCGGTGTTTTAGATGGTCCCAGTTTTCTGCAAACGTTGTGTTGATATGTCGCTTCTTTGAGCCCAGGAAGAAGAGGAAGCACCCGCTGCATTACAGTGGTTACCTCTTTAAGGTGCGAAATGGGTGTGTCATGGTCTGGAAATGGGGTATACCCCCAATATGGCGGTGTTTTAAGATATATTCTCATAGGGAACGTGATGAGGAAGCAGTAGATTTGAGAACTGTCGTTGCCAAAGTTTTCACTCCAGGTGCTGAAGCAGGTCCATCCTGAACTGGGCATCAGCGAGGGACCCCAGAGGGGAAACTGACCGATCCGGATGGCAAGATCTGAAACCATGTTCAGTGACCCAGACCCCTGCGACATGCAAGTTGACATGGACGGCAAGACATCCGACAGGGACTACATTGACTACATCCAATATGAGACGAGCTAGCACCTGCAAACTGCGGTTCAAAGATCTGGTCTCTTTTGCTTCCACTCAAGGTAAGCGTGGCATGAACATCATGAACAGTTTCATGAATGTGCCTCTGATGCATTCGTGTGGGCATGGGCCGGCATGGGCCAAAGTTGGAGACCCAGGGGACAGCAGTGACAGCAGATTATGGTCCATTGATGTCCAGCAGAGTATGATGCCTTGGAAGTAAGGCACTACCACAAGTCACACCCTGTCCCTTCCAGAAGGTGGTCGAGTAAATTCGATCTATTCCGACTTCATAACAAGAGCTGGCCCGGAACAGAAGATTGGCACATGTTAGCTAGGTTGCAGTTGACCTTCCAATCAGTGTACACTCAAATGCTGTAGTTTCTCTATGTTTCTCTCAGTGGGCCGGGATCTGACATGAAGATGTGAGATGTGTCTTAGCCGACTCAACAGACTGGACAGGAGAGTAGCCCCAAACTATGGCTATAGCCAGGAATTCACCCCTGCCATACTTGTAAGGTAAACCCATGGATGCTTGTTGTATCTTGTTGTTGTGGCCACTTGCTACCAATACTTTGAAAGGAGGCTATCGATGTTGTGGCCACCAGGACATGATGAAATGATGATCGTTGATGCTTGGGTATTTGAATTGTTTGGAATTTATGGCAACATATTACTGCACCCAATGGGTGTCCAGCGCTCAAATTGCGCTCAGGATATCTTTGACCGGATTGCCACAGAGGCGCAACTGCGGTGTGTCGGACTAGGTCCAGCCAATGACCTTGGAGATTTTGCCAACAAAGATGAGGATTTCACCAGAAATGATGGTAAATTACAGGGGAAAGCCATGGAAACCCATCAAAGAAATTCAACCATGACCGGATTTCGCTAAAAAAACCAAACCAAGTCCCCTCCAGCGCGCACGGTTATGACTGGAAGCATGGGTGAGCTATGTATCCCAAGTATATCCCAATTATCTCCAAGATATCCCCATCCGACCCGCCCAAACAGATACAACACTTGAAAAGCTGGGAAATATGGGGAACTTCAACACATCAAAAAAACGTCCTGGTTTTACACTTTTAAAAACTGGTATTTGGGGGGACCTTTTTTTTTTTCAATATCCTTCTGTTCGAATCTTCGCCCATCCGCCCTGGCGCGGGCCCAGTCCTCCCGGCTCCTGCGGATCATGTCGAGACGGACCTTGTCCGGACGCGAGGTGCAAACATCCGTGAGGCCGGGGTACCTGGCAGACCTGGCATTTGAGATGGGGATGGGTCAAGTCAGTTCCCTGAAAACTATTGAAAACTGACATGGAAGCCCAATTTGATGGGGAGTTGATGACTTTTTCCCGAATGCGTAGCAAGGGTTCCCGTTTCACTCTGGGGGTCTGGGGGTTGAGGGTGTGTTCGCTCGACGTTGCGTTCGCGAGCGCAACCGTCCGCAACCGTTCGCAACCGTTCGCAACCGTTCGCAACCGTTCGCAACCGTTCGCAACCGTCCGTGCGAGGACCATATGGCCGTGCCTATGGGAAGTTCTGCAGAGGTGGTCATTTTTGGAGGTTTCAGACGTGTCGTTGCTTCGTTTCGCGTGGCAGGCGTGGCACTTCGTGACATTCAGACATGTTTTGCAACGTGTTGAAAATCGTTTTGCGTGGCAGGCGCAGTACTTTTGTGTCGTTTTCAGAAGATGTGTTGCAGTTTTCGTGGCAGGCGCAGCACTTTGGACGTGTCCAGCGTCATTTTTCGTGGCAGGCGCAGCACTTTAGACGCGTCCTGTGGCGTGTTTTTTGTAAATCGCATTGGCAGGGCTGCGTCAAGTGGTGACAAGGTGCAAATTCCGTGGCAGGCGTGGCATTTTCTGACATGTGCTGAAAATTGATGGAAGCCTCGCACGAAACATCGATTTTGAGGTTGCCAATTTTCGGGTTCTAAGGAAAACTCGTAGGAAAACGTCGATTTTGAAGTTACAAAGTGTGAAATTTGAAGGAAGTCTCGCACGAAATGCTCGTTTTGGTGCTCCCACCTGTCTCGTCTCGCGTCTCTGGTTTTCCCGTGGCCTCGCCGTGTCTATGGGGGAAGCTGCAAAACTTGTCCTTTTGTCATGTTGCCAACTGTGAAAATTGGAGGACGTCTCGTACGAAATGCTGGTTTTTCTGCATCCACGTGTCTTGTCTCGAGTCGCTGATTTTCCTGTGGCGTCGCCGTGTCTATGGGGGAAGCTGGAAAACGTGTCCTTTTCAAATGTTTCCAAGCAGGTTGTCATGCCGTTTTGCGTGGCAGGCGTGGCACTTTGTGACATTCCAACCTGTTTGATAACGTGTGGAAAATATCAAAATTGGAGGAAGTCTCGCACGAAATGCTGGTTTTTCTGCATCCACGTGTCTCGTCTCGAGTCTCTGGTTTTCCTGTGGCGTCGCCGTGTCTATGGGGGAAGCTGGAAAACCTATCCTTTTCGAATGTTTCCAAGCAGGTTGTCATGTCGTTTTGCGTGGCAGGCGTGGCACTTTGTGACATTCCAACCTGTTTGATAATGTGTTGAAAATGTCAAAATTGGAGGAAGTCTCGTACGAAATGCTGGTTTTTCTGCATCCACATGTCTTGTCTCGAGTCTCTGGTTTTCCTGTGGCGTCGCCGTGTCTATGGGGGAAGCTCCGCACTCCACACTCTACACTTTACACTCCGCACTCCACAATTTACACTTTACACTCCACACTTTACACTTTGCACTTTACACTCCTCACTCCTCACCTGAGACTTTACACTCCACACTCCACACTCTACACTTTACACTCTACGCTCCACACTTTACATTTTACACTCCACACTCCACACTCTACACACCACACTCTACACTTTCCACTCCACACCCCACACTCCACACTCTACACTTTACACTCCACACTTTATACTTTACACTCCTCACTCCACACTCTACACTCCACACTCCCCACTTTACACTCCACACTCGACACTCTACACTTTCCACTCCACACTCCGCACTCCACACTCCACACTTTACTGTACACTCCACACTCCAGACTTTATACTTTACACTCCCCACTCCACACTCCACACTTCAAACTCCTCACTTTACACTCCACACTCCACACTCCACACTCTACACTCCACACTTTACACTCCTCACTCCTCACTCCACACTCCACACTTTACACTCCACACTCCACACTTTACACTCCTCACTCCACACACTACACTTTACACTTCACACTCCACACTTTCCACTCCACACTCCACACTCCACACTTTCCACTCCACACTCCACACTCCACACTTTACACTCCACACTCCCTTCTCTACACTCCTCACTCCTCACTCCACACTTTACACTCCACACTTTACACTCCACACTCTACACTTTACACTCCACACTTTCCACTCCACACTCCACACTTTACACTCTACACTATACACTCTACTCTCCACACTTTACACTTTACACTCCACGCTTTTCACTTTATCTACACTCCTCACTCCACACTCTTCACTTTACACTCCACACTCCTCACTCTACACTCCACACTTTAAACTCCACACTCCACACTCTACACGCCACACTCTACACTTTCCACTCCACACTCCACACGCTACACCCTACACTCCACACTCTCCACTTTACACTCTAGACTCTACACTTTACACTCTACACTTCGCACTCTACAATTTACAAACTCCACACTTTACACTCCACACTTTACACTCCTCACTTTACACTCCACACTCCTCACTCCACACTTTACACTCCTCACTTTACACTCCACACTCCACACTTTGGACTTTACACTCCTCACTCCCTACTCTACACTCTACACTCCACACTCTACACTCCACACTCTACACTTTACACTTCATACTTCACACTCTACACTTTACACTCCATACTCCACACTCTACACTTTACACTCCGCATTCTACACTTTACACACTCTACACTCCCCTCTCCATACTTTTTACTCTCCACGCTCTACACTTTCCACTCCACACTGCAGACTGGTAACAAGGGAAACATGCACAAGACTTTTCAAATAAACTATTGCAGAAAGGTATTGTGCGTGACTGCAAAACCATGTGTTTTCACATCTGTACCATTAACATACGTGTGAGCATTCGGGTTCGTGGGCTTCATCTTGTTTTTGAACTTGGAAATGGATGGAAATGGCAAATGTAAGAAATTCCGGGTTGGTTTTCAGGATTGTAAGACCTCTCAAAAGCCGCAGATGTTGATGATGTCTTGCGATTTGATCCTCAATGTTTGTCTACAGCAAAACAAGTGACCTGTACTTGTGTAGTTGGATACTAGTGGGATGGGGTTATGTAGAATGACTCAGTTTGGCTAGACTGATGTGGGTGTTTAAGAAGCAATGACTTGAATACAATTGAATTTCTTAGCAGATATGCGGGCAACTGGGAGTAGATTGGGGTTGTTGGGTCCCTCGTGCACCCTTACCCAGGAGCCATGATCGGGTGGAACCGGCAATGCTGGCAGTCTGCTGTTGACTGTTTCCCTTGAATCATCAACACGTTCTCGATTGTTCAATGGCAATTTCGGGGTCCCATACCCCATTTCCGGACAAATCCAAATATCACATTGTTGGTACTGTCCGTTATTTGTATATTACACCTATCTATCTATCTACCTATCTATCTACCTATCTATCTCTATCTCTATCTATGTCTATATCTATATCCCTATCTATCTATATCTATCCATCCCCATCCATCCCCATCCATCCATACATTCATACATACGTATTTACACATATCCTGTTCTGTCCCCATAAACTGGTTGGTTTTCTGGACAAACCCATGTGTTGCAAGCCCTCAATTGAACGTTTGTAGCACTTTGCAACTGCAACTGCATGAAGTTTGGAAGCTGATTTCCGATCATGATAGGGGTTCCATGTCCAATTTTTTTGGGGCTGTAAACACCCATTTTTTTTCGGGCTTTAGTTCCCCAGCTTCAGGCTCCTCTTGCCTGGAGAGTTGGCGAAACATGCGGTGTCTGAGGGCACGAAGGCAGGGTTTTGAAAGGTGGCGATAGCACAATCTGTATGGAAAAAACCATTCATGTGGTAAACCCAATAAAAGGTAGTAAATAGCCATCCCACTTTTTCTGTGGTAACTACCTCAGTTTGCCAGAAATTGGCCCTTCATCATGTGGGAAATGACGAAAAAAGTGGTAAACCATCTCCAAAATTTACCCCAAAATACGGTGTGAACAGCCATCCTCAGTTGGACATTGACGGGTTTGCATGGGGTAAACCCACATCCATTTAGTTCGATGTGTTTGGAATCGTCCTTAGATGATCTTTCGATGTACCTGTGCCATCTTGGATTACCAGGGGTTGAAGTCACCCTCAGGATCTCCACCGGGGTTATCCCCCCGTTGTTTGACTGGTCGATTTGAGTCAAAAGTCAAGACTGACAGCCTTTTTCTATTGGGCACATGAACGCCCCAAGATCATCCTTGGGATGTGAGCAACAGGGGTTTCTTGGGAGGGTGCTCATTTCATGCCCCACAATCTCGCCAGTCGGTCAACAAGTTCTTCAACCAAGAGGAGGACAAAGAAGGAGAAGCGAAGAAGGCAAAGAAAGGGGACAAAGCCAAAGTCAAAGGAGCCAATAAGCGCCCTGGGGTCTGAGCGTGCCCCGCCGGAGTCCGACTTGGACCTCCAGGGGAGCTGCCAGGATTTGAGGGCAGCAGTTCTGAACGAATCCGGAAGATCCTGAAATGGCCCGTTGGGAACAGTTGGAACTCATTGATTTCTGGATCTCCGATAGGATACTTCATTTGTAGGTGCAGTGACAACATGTGACAACACCCATATGCTTTCAGGTTCCTTCCGGGTTCCCCAAGCCGGGATGGATGTTTGTGTTCGCAAACCCCCTCAAAAAGAGCAGGGGAGTGAAGCCAGCCCAGACTAGATGGCTGATAAGTGCTTGTATGTGGAACTACCCTCCGGTAACTTAAGAGTTTGCTATGCTATAGACGGCCCATTTATAGAGGATATACCGAATATACCCATGAACAATTGTCATTTTTCATAGCGATGTGAAATTACCAAAGGGAATACTATGTCCAAAGATTTTGTTCCAGCTACTTGTGCTTTCAGAAGATGATTCCCATCACGTCAAAAAGCGATGAGAAACGTCGTTCCTTGTTTGAGGCATCCAATCCATTTGTATTGGACTGCCAGTTTGAATGAAGTAAGAACCAATTCTCAGTTCATGACTTTAAGCTGTGAAGCCTGTAGATTCCCACAACATGAAACTTGAGATGAGAAAACATCAGTAGAAGCAGCTGGTCCTTTCAAACCGCACCATTTTCACACCCTTTTTATCTAGGAAAAAACGTCTTGTGAAGCGAACTGCCGCATCCGACCTCGGCCGCTGGGTCATTTTTAGCCCAGTTGATCTTAGAAGTGGGTGGCCGCAATGGACAGAGGAGCCACAACTATTTTTCCTGTTGAAGATGTAGAAGAGACAGGGAAGACATGCGGAAGCTGCCCTTTGTTCTTAGTGGCCACTCCAAATGGCTGGCTGTGGCTCAAGGTTGGGTTTATTTTCAAAGCTTAATCAATGAGTGGCTGTTTTCCATTTGCTGGGTGCTGCATAACTATCTTTTTCCAACTCTGTGGTTGATTGATGGAGAGGTACACTCCATAAACAAGAGAGAATGATGGTGGGATGCCACACTAACTTGCCCCCCTATTTTCTCCCAAAGGACATCAGTGATTGCGGTTGAGCCACATCCAGTTTGCACCTGTGCGTTCAAAATACACGCACCCCGGCCCGTCGCTTCAGATGACTTGTCGCGCCTAGAAGGGCTGGGCACATCTCACCTGGTCATCAGGTGTTGAAAGCATGTGGGGATGGCTCAGCGAAGTGCCCCCAAAACACATGTAAAGACCATGTTTCACAGAAAAACGACCGTTCAACTTTTCAGCATTGGTGAGAACTTATTGGCCCAGAACAGCCAAGTGCTCATTGGCTTAGCTACGCCTCATGTACCATAGCGTGCAGTCGGAGAGATCTTGACGGCTACCGCGCTGCGGCAGGCTTCCTGCTATGATCCTGTCCAGGGGTTGAGATGGGCGGGGACAGCCAAGAAGCTGATTGCGAAGCTAAAAGGTTGAATGGCCGGACGTTGACGGGTCAGTTCGGTCAGTTCACCCTGGAAATGACCAGTTCACATCGAAGAATACGGGTTGATAGCTGATAGTTCTGGATGTTCACCTCACCAAGAATGATCCAATAGGTCTTGATTCATCCCTATCTTGACGATTTTTGACTCATATCCTGGCTCTTATGAGCAGAGCGCTTGATTTTGGAGGGATTGGGGACTTCTTCCAGTGGCACATCATTGGGCCCACATCTTTTTCCCATTTTTTCCCTCTCCTAGTGGATCCCAAGATAGAAAGACATGAAGCCTGGGCTCCGCCAGATGCCTCCCAGCTGCTGGGCCAAGTCACCAAACATCCAGCCCTACGTGCCAGCGAGGTGCTTGAAGGGCGGCCAAAATATCTGTTAGTTAGTTATGGTAAGTTATGGATATGTGAAATATTGTGACATATGAAACTTTTGTGTCCAAAGGATTGTCCAAACGATTTCCAACCCTAAATTCCCGGATCATGTCCAGGTTTGGGTCCTGCACTGGCTGCAAACCTGGAGTCCTGAAGTAGATACGTTTGTGTTTCTAAGACTCACCCTTTGACCAGGTCTTTTTAGCATGGGTAGAATCCTGATTAGCGTCGCCCAACTTGGATTCAGCTCTCCCTATCTTGTTGGTTGGTATCCCCACTATGGATAAGGAGCCCCAGACACCCAAGAACGCTTTGCAGGCTACTGATCTTTCAAAGTCTTTTCCCAATTTTCATCCATTTTCCCGAATTTTCCCTATCACCTCCCCGTTTTGCGGGAAATTAACCATCAACAAAGCCTTGCAGTTCGCCGAGCGTGGCCTTGGTCTCACCCTGACAGAGGTTGGGAAGTTGGGGCTTGAAGTGTGGGGATTCAAAAAAATCAACCCACAAACATGGCTCGATTTATCTAAATCCAAAGTTCGTGGCTGAATGGGGGACTTAAGATGGACTTAGCCTTTGAAGGAGGGGGACACCTGCAAAAAGTGGGGGAGTTTCATGACTGTCAGGAGCTGGGCGCGGAGACGGAGCTGCTCATGGTGCCAGAGGAGTTACATGGGAGATCTTGCTTGGGCTGTGTAGCTGAGAACAACTTACTCCCACCAAAACTTGGTGAAACTTGGATTGTTCAAGGAAGTTCAGTAGCAAAAATATTTGCAAACACAACGAAACGTCTGGTTTCAGTGACTTTTTTTGTGAGCCAGACCCTTCTCAGGGCATTTTTGAGCTGAATGATCTGGCGGATGAGGGTTCAGGCTCCAGCAACTTTGGAGGGGGCGGTGTTCACCGGTGTCCTGGCAGGAGATGCTCCTGAACATCTACACAGCTTTGAAGTCCAAGGTGGAGATGCATCGTCCTGAAATAGCCTTTTCAAAGGCTGCCGTAGGACTGGTAGATCGGTAGATCATTGAAAATCAGAAGTTGGGGGTTGATTTTGGGAGAGCTCGGGATGCAACACAATCTATCCTTCCAATTGTTGCAGGCTCAGGGGTCGTTTCAAGCTGCTACCCCCCCCTTTTTTAGACTCAAATTTCCGCTGCGGTTGACTAACCCCCAAATTCTGGCATTCTGGCATTCTGGCTTTTCCTTTCATGTCCTCTTTTCATCTCTCTCTGGTCATGACTAACATAGCTATTGAACATGGCCCAGTCGAAATAGTGGATTTACCCAGCTATAAAATGGTGATTTTCATCTCTCGCAGCGGCGCAGCACTTCGGTCCCATCGCGGAAAAGCTGCTGCAAAGTGGGCTGCACGTGGAGGTGGGGATCAGCATCGGTCGGGAATGGAAGGAATGGAAGGACCATCTAGAAAAACATATTATCCCACATTTCCCTATGATTGTCATATTGTCCCATATTGTCTTGTCACATATTGATCCATTGAGAACATGTGAAAAAAATGGTCCATTTCTGAATGATCCAAAATCATCCAGTTGATTTGGAACATGGCAAGATCCCGACCAGCGAACTGGGATCAATCCCCCTGAGCCAGACGGTGACCATGCTCTTTGCAATCCTTGAGCATAGGCCCAGCAGATGGACATGGAGTGTTGGAAGAAATTCAGAAACCCTACAAGGTTACAAGGTGGTGTGTTTCTTGGTGAATAAGCCACATTAACTATCGAATACTATCGATGTATTTACCATAAAGCGTACTTAATCCCTATGCGGCACCACCATGATGCATAATTATGCATAATTCATAATTCAAAAAAAATATGGGGCTGTACCATTTCAAGATATTTCAAGTAGGACTTCATCGCTTTTGGATATGTCAAGTTCCCCCCTGTTCATCAACGCGAATTCATCCGGGGGTGACATTCAACCTGGTAGTATAACTCTCCAAGGACACCATCAAGCACCAGGTGATCCAGGTGTCGCAGTCGAACTTCTGTCGAACCAAGGTGTATGAATATTATATAATTAAGTCAAGTATTAATATCATACACCTTGGGATGATCGGTGCAGGAGCAGGGACCAAGACCACCAAGACCCGCGTTGGAAGGCGCGGGATCTGCCGGGGATCTGCCGGATCATCTGCCGGATCTGTCGGCACTGCCCTTGGAGACTCCCAAGGTTTAACAGCGTTGGTCCATTGGTGACAGCCATTAACTATGGATTAACTATGGATATATCATGATATATCATAAACCATAGTTAATATATGTTAATCTCCATAAATATATATCATGATATATCTACCATAAACATCCATAAACCATAGTGACCCCAAGTTATTTTTGTGACGCTGTCAATGGCGCCAGGAGTTGTTGGAACGAGCGTGCGGGAGCCGAACTTCCGAACGCGCAGTTTGTCTCTTCGTTTGTCTCTTCAGGGATGGACCAAAATAGCCTTTGCAACATTTTAGGAAAACCATGACAAACACCTGAGATATCAATGGGATGTCAATACCATGGAAAATCCTATTTTTGTAATATGGGATAGCAATGGGATGTGAAAGCCTGAAAGCATTTTGGGAAAATCGTGTCGAAGATTGGGAAACATGTGTCGAACATTGGGATGGAATGAGATAGCATTTTTGAGACACACCCATGAGAACTGGCAGCAGCTACGGCTGCAACAACTTCACTCACGCAAGTACCATCAACGACTGATAAGCTTCGTACTGATTTCACAAACGATGGTTGCTTCTTCTTGTCGCTGAAAAGGTGATGTTTCGGTGAATTCAGTCATAAACGGATAAACGGAATCAGCTTTTACATTTTTTTCAAGAGAAAACTGAAAAACAACATGTTTTTTTTTAAAGCAAATCATCGTAAACCATAGTAAATATAGTAGTCTGGCAAACCCAACAATTACTATAGTAGTAGAAGGTATGGGGTTTGCCAAATGGACAATTGATGAACAATTTAATTCAACTGTACAACAGTTGGCTTGGATCGTTCTGCCGATCCAAGATGATCCAAGGCCTCCGTTGACTGAGGAGTTGTTGCCTCTCACATGGCCCATTGAGGTCGGCGCGCTGCAGGGAGCAGGGAAAGGCAGCCCAAATGGAAGAGAAATCCTGGGAGTTTCAAGGCAGACTTGGGGGGTCAAAACCCATGATTTATGAGGATTTATGATGTATCTGTTCATGGAGTTTCCATGCTTTTTTTGGCTGTGAAGATCCATCACCAGCTTCAAAGTGATGCGGGTTGTACCAGGCGGTGGAAGAGTTGGGGCAGCAGCTGGCCCAATTGGTGGAGGACCTTGGGCGATTTTCCAAGTACTCAACTGGCTGTGTGTTTATGTTATTATGTATCTATGTGTTGGTAATTGTTGCTACATAAATGATCACAAATGACTTCTTTTTTGTATTACGATATATATATATATTATTAATTATTATTAATAATTAATTGTAATTATATATATATTATATGTATATATATATACACGATATGTATGAAGGCATAGTTCTTTTCTGATGTACTGTTCTTTCAGAACTAGGCATTGGTTTGGTAATGGGACCCATCATCATTATGGATGATGTTGAACTGGGTTTTGTTGATACCTTCTCGTGTGGCATTTACAGTTAGATATTTATGCCTCAATATCCATTTGTCCATATATTTAACCAGAAGTCAACTTGATCAATAGCTTTGATTTGCCGATTCAGATTCGGATGATAGGAAACACCGACCTGATATTTGATGGTAATTTTCACCGTTCTTTCCTGTAGATGTTCCCTTCATCCAACCTTTTTGGGCCAAGATGTCTGGCTCAATCCCGCTGTGGCGCCATGGGTTGTGGGGCGTCCACCGGCCACTTCGCGGAGCAATCCTATGCAAAGTTCAAGGCGGACGGCGAGGAGATGCAGGGATGGGACCCCCCAGTTGTGGTTGTTGTAGGGCCAGTGGGGTCCATTTTCAATCACGTTTTTTTGGGATGGGTCAAGGCGGTCAGGGGATGGAGGTCCATAATTCCCAACTATCTTGATGTGAGCAGAAGGGCACCAGAGTTTCGATCCATAGCGATTTTTCTTTGGTGTTCGATTTCAAGATGTTCAATCAGATGTGGTCTGAAGTGTATGATGGATTAGGCAGATCCTCCGGTAGCATCCCTCATTGGCCGAAAAAGTCTTGTTTTGCAGGTTTTTTACCCAGTCAGGCAGCCACCCAGTGCTCGATGTGAGGACAAAGAGACCTTGCCGCTGCGGAGTTTTTACCGTGCCATTTCCAATTCCTTCTCAGATGTGAATGAGAGCCGGAAGGATCGCAAAGACAAGGGTGTGGACGCTTCTGGGATGTCATGGGCTCTGAGGGAGTTGGGCATCCCAATGCTGTGGGAAGGGATGTGTTTTGATAGTTCTATCATGTTTTATCTAGTGTGTACATGCGCATCATATACGCACACACGGACATACCTATCATTACCTATCGATAATCTATATCTATATTATATATATATGTATGTATATGTATATAAGTACATAGATACATAATAATGCATACCTCCGTCCGTACATGTCTGCCATCATACCTACTTACCTACCTACCTGCCTACAGTACCTACACACCTACTTATATGTACGTACACGCACCAGGCAAAATCCGGAGAGTTAATCTAGAACTTGGTGATGTCCCGGCCCGCTATGCCACAGCGACTGGTCACTGAGGTTTGCCCAATCATCAATCAGAATCCTTACTGCTGCAACACTGCGAAACACAAAGCTGATCAACACAAGGGAATGCGAGCCTGTGTCTGCAAGCCATGGACCCTCTTTTCTGATCTGATCCTTGTATTTGCTGTGCCTGTGAAAGTTTTAAATCTGGGTTGCCAGGTTCAAGCGGCTTCCTCCATTCTCCTGATTCTTTGATTTGAAATTTGAAGGGTACTGCCTAATCCATTTATTCATTGTTGCCTAGGATGTAATTTGTTTGGTTTCACATACATTGTGAATTGGAAAATCCATTTAAGATGGAACCGAAGAATTGGGCCAATTAGACCAGCAGGAACACGATCATGTTCGAAGCATCTTCAAAGCCACTTTTCTCGAATTTGCATCTCCGTGGGTTTTGGTGGTTTCAAGCATGTCTGAATTATCCCTGCTCCTACCTGGGATGATTCACGCAAACTACAGAAACTACAGAAACTACAGAAAGTACAGAAAGTACAGAAACTACAGAGACTATCTATCTAATCTAATCTAATCTCATCTCATCTAATCTAATCTAATCTAATCCAATCTAATCCAATCTAATCTAATCCAATCTAATCTAATCCAATCTAATCCAATCTAATCTAATAATCTAATCTAATAATCTAATCTAATAATCTAATCTAATAATCTAATCTAATAATCTAATCTAATAATCTAATCTAATAATCTAATCTAATAATCTAATCTATCAATCTATCAATCAATCAATCAATCAATCTATCTATCTATCTATCTATCTATCTATCTATCTATCTATCTATCTATCTATCTATCTATCTATCTATCTATCCGTCTGTCCGTCTGTCTGTCTGTCTGTCTATCTACCTATCTATCTACCTATCTATCTACCTACTGATTGGTCCGTCCATCCATCCCCGTCTCTCTCTCTCTCTATCTATGTGCTTGTATATATACTTACATATACATGTTTATCTATATACATATAAGTATATGCGCATCTGACATCATCATATACTACTTAAATAGTAACTAAAAAAAAATCCGCACACATTTTTCAGTACGTGGATAGGTTAACTCAGCCAACAGTCTGAGGAACCTTGGAGGAGCTCATTGCCGGTGTGTTCGGGGCGAACGTGGGCGGCATCCAGCGGGACGAGAACGTCGCGATTTCGCCGCGTGGATCACACGTGCCGGTTGATGGGAGTTACATGGAGTTACACCATCCAATTGGATGCACAACATTGATAAATATTGATATTGGATGTAGTATGGATGCATATCCTTGGGATTCCAGATAATTATATTGATGTAAAAGTAAGTTTTGGGGTTATACGGAATCCGAGTTTTGGGATGATGGATGATGATTGGGGATCAAAAAAAAATCCATGGGAAATCCCATGTCTCTTTTTTGGGGGATGAACTTTGGATGACATTTGGGTCCCAATGAACTTGAAATGGCTATGATTGAAGAATTTGGGATCAAAATTGTCCATGGCGCGGGAAATTCCATGGCATTTTTGGCGGACTTACTGTACGCCGGATGTACGGTGATGTATTAAACCGCCCTTCCCTTCCCCTTTGGAAATGGCAAATCTCATGTGTTGTCGGTTCATGCTTGCATTTGTTTCGTCAAAACCCGGATCTTGGCACGCACGCATTTATACCCCTTTTTGGAATCCTGTTCGAATGACCCTCTGAGTCGGTCGCCATTTGTAAAAAATGACCTGAAGATTTTAGGCAGCCCCTCCAACCAAAGATCCATGGATTTTATGGGTTTTCCGATTTTCCAGGGCAATTTCGGGGATAGTAACCCATGCCAATACCCATAGGATCCATGTATGCTATATATGGTAACATTTACCATCAATATACCCCAAATGTTAGCATATATACCATACATGGATCCTATGGGATATATATACAAGTTTCGCCATGGCCACGGCCAGCGCTGCGCTGTTGAACCCAGGCTGGAGCTCTGGAGATCGCTCTGCGACGGACTGGTGAAGGCTGGGAAGTTTAAAAATTGCGGTACTCGTAGCAGAGATCTCTGAGCCTTTCGCAGAAAGCCAAAATGGGGTGTTCACCCAAACATCATTGGACATCATTGGTTTCCTCAGCTCATCAGCTTGATATAGCTTGATGGTTTCCTCAGACCTCATATATGAGACCAACCTGAGGTCTGCAAGTCCTATTGGCACGATGAGGATCGGGTGAAGTTGACAGAAAATGTCGTGGAGATGCCTTTGGGATGGCACTATGGCACTGAAAAACATGTGATGACATCATTTTTTCCCAAACGTTCGGCAGTGTGCCATGAGACCCAATCTTTCAAGTGGGGTGAAACCTGCAAAACCCGACAAAAATCACAGGGAGACGCTCCCCCGATAGCTTGTCAGGTCCATGAAACGGGCTCAGGAAATGGTTTCTTGCCGCTGTACGGAACCGTAGGGCCCTGTCAAAGCTTCCAGACCAATCGCATATTTGGAGGATGCAACTTCCATTGAGATGATACACACTTACCCCTGGTTCATCTTCCTTCACAGCCATCCAGACTCTCCAAAATGAGGTTGCAGGAAAACAGGACCATCCCCACGTTGAGTCAGGAACATGAAAATCCATTGGTTTCAGCGAAAAACCCAACAGTTACCTAACAAAAAGCATGGGAAATTAGGAGATTCCCCCAGAAAATCACCAAGTTTTGGGAAGATCCCAGGCTCTCCCAGGTCACCTGCGATCAGCTGCTGAGGTGTCTCCAACTTGGTCGCCCGGACAGCTCCTGGTGCAAACGCGTGCGATGCTTCTGCCACTTCGAGGTTTCTGGGTGGATGGCCATGTTTTTTTTTTTGTGGCTGGGTCGCTGAATTGAAAAAACATTGCTGAGTAGTAAGTGAAGATGTAAAAACCTCTATCTTCAAGATGTTGTAAAGGGCATCCTGAAGATGGAGGTCAATAATTTTGAGCCGTACTCATATGTCCAAGGCAATGATGGCTACAGGGGTGGAGAGAAATGGTAATTTTATATGCCATTTCATCTAGTTTCCACACCCTGGTATCTGTGGTCTTGGGAGCAACCCCGAAACTAGGGTGAGATTGCCATGAGTTAACATTTCTTGGAGCCTGCGTTTGGAAGATGAATCTGTCATTTTTAGCCTCAATTACATTTTGTGAGAGTTATATACTTAAGTTTGACCCATATCAAAATAGATGGGAAGAATCCTGCTGGCATCAAACAGTTTCCAGATTTTCTGGTTCCAGGAGGTTGTTCGCAGGTTGACACCAAGTCTTTGCTGGAATCTCGCGGCCTAATATGCATACTCCAGTAGTACCCTTGGCCTAGACCTTCAGCAACAAGTATTGGTTAGACTAGATTCTTTGGATGCTGCCAACTGATATGGATTTAGAATGGCCTGTATAGTTTTTATCGCAGGGATTTCGATTCCTTCAGCCCCGAAACATGGCTAGGAATAGCTCCATGGAAGCGCAGCAAGGTACATATGGTGGAACCCAAAGCTGGCCATCCAGGTGGCAAACGCATAGCCTCCAGGCATCTTGTGGATTTCACCAACAACTATAGGATGAGGATATAATGGACATATGATAGGGTATGTATATATAATAATATATATATATATATCATATACATATACATATACATATACATATACATATACATATACATATACATATACATATACGTATACGTATACGTATACGTATACGTATACGTATACGTATACGTATACGTATATACGTATACGTATACGTATATACTATACGTATATGTATATGTATATGTATATGTATATGTATATGTATATGTATATGTATATGTATATGTATATGTATATGTCTGTACAAATTAGAGCGGGCCCAGCCGAGGAACGAGGTAGGGTTTGTAGATGTAACGAGCCCAGCGACGAGGTAGCATTCTTGAATTTAAGGACAAGTGGTTTTTTTCTGAGTTGGAAGTAGCACCGTTTGGGGCTTTTTCTTGTCCAAAACTTAGATTTTGGAACTACTTTTTTTCAGATTGCTTGGAACACAAAAAAGTTTTTCGATTCAAAGTTGCTTTGCTCTGAGTTAGAAGTAGTACCGTTTTGGGTTTTTTCTTGTTCAAAACTTAGATTTTGGAACTACTTTTTTTTTCAGATTGCTTGGAACACAAGAAAGCTTTTCGATTCAAAGTTGCTTTGCTCTGAGTTGGAAGTAGTACCGTTTTGGGCTTTTTCTTGTTCAAAACTTAGATTTTGGAACTACTTTTTGTCAGATTGCTTGGAACACAAAAAAGCTTTTTCGACTCCAAGTTGCTTTGCTTTTACTTGGAAGTAGTACTGTTTCGGGCTTTTTCATGTTCAGGGCTTAGATTTTGGAACTACTTCTTTTTCAGATTGCTTGGAACACAAAAAAGCTTTTCGGTTCACAGCTGCTTTGCAAAGAATTGGAAAAGCTTTTCGGTTCACAGCTACTTTGAGTGTCGAGATCTCGAACGCAGCCTAGACCTCTGGTTGCACGTGCAAAAAGAAGTTGAATCGGAGAATGTGAATCAGCCTGCGCAGACAGTCTTGCATAGCTTCTTGTGCGCTCAGACACAGAGCGCAGCTTGCGAAAGGACCTTTGCGAAGGTTGAGGAACTCAAGCGCCTCGGTTATTAACAGGTTACTTTTTATTGCTTTGGACAATCACAATATGAACAAACACTTTTCGAAAGGCCGAACGTTTCTTTTTGGGAATTTGAGGCAAAGAAACTGTTTTAAGCATCCGACCAGTTTTTTGGCATCAGCCATTTCTTGACAGGAAGCATTATGGTGCTATGGTCACAGACAACCACGTGGAAGAGTCTCTGCTAGTCGGCTGTGGCCCAGGCCCACAGGAAGCAGCTGAGACTCGTCTTCTTGCACGATGCCTTCAAAAGTTCATGCAGAAGGACCGGGTTTGAAACCATCTTCTCCCCTCCAAAGCATCTATTTCTTTCTGTGCCCAGTTGTTCCCACACGGCCTTCTTTCCCTGATATCAGGAAAGAAGGATGTCGCAGGCGACCTTCGTCCGGAGAGGTGGCGTCATCAAGCAAAGGCGCCGTTCTCAGAGGTCTGACTTTGGAAAGGCGCGGAAATCTTACAAAAGTAAGAGCAAGTTGCGAGTTGATGCTCCTTGAAGAGGACTCACTGAAGGTGAGGTGAGCATCAGAGAGGCTTCCTCGCGGGAGTTTAGCGACATTTTGGAGGACATGTCCCCTCCAAAGAAGCGCAAGTAGCCCAAAAGAAGAAAAAAGAGAGGCTGGCCGCCAGGCTTGCTGTGACAAGGGAGCTAATTCCTAAAGCAGAACTAACGAGCCGAGCTACTAATTTCAAAACCCTACATAACGAGCCGAGCTGCTAATTCCATGGTGAGATTTAACTGACGAGGGAGACGAGCTAAGAAATAAAGTACTTTGTGCAGATATGTATATGTATATGTATATGTATATGTATATGCATATGCATATGTATATGTATATGTATATGTCTATATATAGAGGCTAAAACCATTTATAACCAACAGTATGACATTTGGGTATGTCTGATTCCATTGGGTACACCCCATGCGGGCATTAAAATGGGGAAACTGATGATACCCCATTGGAGTTGGGGGTAACATATGTTCAAACACACCCATATGATTATACATGTGTTTTTCTGATTTTGTTTGCAGAACAGGGTCGCTTCCCTTGTTGCATCTTGCGGACATTCTCGGATTGGATCATAAAAACCACCCATGATTTGGATCATAAAAAAGTCCATGTTTCCAACTCCATCAAATCAACCTAGTAATGACAGTGTTCCTGCTAGATCCAGACATCAGCCGCCAAAAATCTGCACCCTCTGTGCAGCTGCAATTGGGCTCCTTTGAGGGAAAGTAGAGTCAGCAAGCACAAAGATTTTAGGAACCAGTGTTGTTTTTCTTCAAACCCAGTCGTCAGTTTTGAACATCATCTACTCAAACGGATCTCCAATAAAAACGCGGCGAAGAAACCTAATGGATCTATCCGGTAGCCGTTCCAGAGGGTCCATCAACTCTGTATCTTCCGCGATGCCAGCTGCACCACTCAGGTTGATGGCAAATTTTTCTTCATGAACCTTTCGCTGAAGTTCAGCAAGTTTTCTCTGCTTTAATGAGACTGGCTAAACGTCTCATAGAGTTCGATAGTTCGTGTGCTTTGTCTTGTTTGCACAATCTGTCATCATCAGATGAGAAAATATGAAGAACCTAAATTCAAATGAGTATATAGTATCACCTAGTGTCATTTGAGGTATCATTTGATCGTATTTGATAACAAACCTTGGATCGTTCATGAACAAAGACAAATTAACTCACACATATGTGTGTATACATATATATATATATATATCAATACATAGATAATTAAACCGTATTTATCCAACATGGTTCATTTTAGCCTTGTCCAGGTTGACATCTTTTTTTTCGCTTCAGGAAGCTCGAGTCGAACAGCGAGGAGGGCGAACTTGTCTACCCTGCCAAGCCTGGAAAGGAGTGGGACAGCACCCCGGCCTCGTGGATCAACTACCGTTGCTCTGGCAAAAAGGGATGCCGTGGTGGGAATTTCTCTGAAAAATCCATCAACTGTTTTTTTTTGTTCGGTAGATCTTTTTGGGGGGTTTGTCAAACATTTTGGGTACATATAAAAACCAAGTACATGTGTATGCGGTATATTTTCCAATGCCATTATATAGATGAAGAGAATCGGCCACTCCTTTGGAATAGGGTCTACCTTATTTTCACCAGGTTTTTATTGGGAAATCCTGGTTTTGGAGGTTCCAGTCATGGGGGAGTTTGCCAAACTATACATCCGAGGGCCGTCCCAATGAGGTTATGGGAAGGAAGACTCTTCCACTGAACAGCTGAAGATCGATGCTTGACTTGGATGTGGGTAAACAGGAGGGGTCAAGGGATGTCAGTTGCCTTTCATTTGCCTTTATCTTTAGTATCAGATCGCATGTGTCCATATCTACAGATACATCATGTAAATGTCACATATTGCAAGACCGGCATTTCTTGGCATTTTTAAATTGTTAACTTCCGTCTCCAAGTCTCAATCGGAAAGGCCTGGAGGTCTCCAAGTTGTTCTTTTCATTGAAGGTCTGTCGCTAGGAGATCTCAAGCATTGAGGATGTGCTGGAATGGACGGCAGGCAACTGGGTCCACACGGAGACCATGGTGAATCCACAAGATGTCTTTGAACTATGATCTACCACGCGTTCATCTCGGCTGTGAGAATGTTATGAATGTTATGTGACTCCGCCGCCATCTGGGTCTAAAATCCAGTGTGGATGTTCCGGAATAAGTTGTGCTCCAGAATTGGTGGACCAGATTCCAAAATTGATTCAAGAGAAACCAATCCATGGAGCTGTGTAGCTCTGCCATTCAATAGGCTTGTCACCAGGGGTTTCTCCAAGAGAACCTGAACTGGATGTGTCGAGCCCGTCACATGGGCGAAATGCGATGAAAACTGCTGCGGCGTCATCACTTCAGGTAGTTGCACTTTTTTTGTGCAATTTTCAGGGAGGCAAGCAGGTCCAGCATGCCTGCAGGGCCTGCGCAAGGAGAAATTTGAAGCTCTTTCGTACACTTGGAATCCACTTGGCAATTTTTGTGCAGAGATCTAGAGCATCATGTTGGTCTTCCATGTCTGACCGCGTGCTACGCCGCTACGCAACTTGTATCCAACAGGCTTGCTGCTGCAGCCCAGCTCCAATGTCTAATCTCCACTAGTAGATTGATATTATACAGACATTTATTGATTCATTTCAATTCCTATTGAATCCTTATGATTGCTGTTGTACAACCCATAAAATCACCATTTATGAAAACAATGAAAACACCTACTAGGTTATGAAATTATTTCTTTAAACAGGATTTACAGTAGTTATTGCCACAATAAGCACACACATTTAGATATTTAGATAATATAGTTAATTCAACGATCGACACTATGTATATTTCAAATATGAGCTATCTATCTATAATAGTTATGTTTCTTTTTTTCAAGAATAGGTTAAAGCAATACTGCAATTGAACATGATACATTATATACATATTAAGCAGCTTCGAAGGGAGGTGTTTGCAGACCATCGCAGCCCAGCATGGCCTCGGCGCCTCGCAAGCACAAGCGCATTACCCCCACCCTGGTGGCGGTCGATGCCGCGGACGTGTCCGCGCCCATCGAGGCGCCGGCGCCGGTGGCACCGGCAGAAGCGGCAGGAGTTGTGGTGGAGGAACTGGAAGTTGTGGCCAAAGCAGTCAAGCAACTCCAACCTTTGAAGGTGGGAGGATCAAAATTTGGGGAAGGGAAACCATGGGTCATGACTGATGTCCCCATGGGCCACATCACCCAACCATGAATGGTATATGGTCAATGCCATGGCTACTTTTTTAGGTGATGTCCAATATTCCCAAAATGGGACATTTACCAACCCCTGGAAACCCCAAATTTTAAAACATAGGAGACGAAAGAATTTGATGGTGGACTTAGTGGAGTTTTGTTGTTTTGGCTGTCCGACATTTGAAATATGGGCAGCAATGGGCAGTGACCCAAATTTGGGAGGATTCTTCTGATGTTGGAAAACCAAGAATCCACCTACCATTTGGGGATGGTTTATAGCACCCGTTTATGGTGATTTTGGGAATTGTTCATTATTGGGTTTACCACATGACTTAGATTCTTCAAGAAATAGCTCTGTCGAGTCTGTCGAGCATCAGGACAACCCAGACCTTTGGTCTACAGGTGCAGATGTAGTAAAACTATCTTGCAGCAAAAACATGCACTTGGACCAACCTGAACAGGAAATAGATCTGGAAATGGAATAACAAGGGATCTGATCAGATAATCCATTCATATCCATTCATATCCATTCATATCCATTCATATCCATTCATATCCATTCATATCCATTCATATCCACCATATCCCTATCAACTCCCTCTTGAAATCGATGCAGACTCCCTATGTTCCAACATGATTTTTTTTAGTTTTCGCTGCAGGTGGTCATGAACTCTGGATACCTGGCTGCCCTGTTGCCCGACGCTCGGATCTTGGTTTTCGACCACAAGGCCTTGGTGGGTGAAAAATGGGGGCTGGTCTAAAACCATGGGGGGTTGCCACCGTCATTTTTTGTGGCATTTTTTCTAAGGATTCTGATGTTCAACCAATGGATTTGGGGGATACTGCAGATAGCCCATCGGCCCATTTTCAGCCACACTTTAGATGTTTGGATGCCAACATCTACGATGGCTCACATGGATTCAGGTTCAGCTCAAATCTGGGTTCATTTTTACACCAGTGGCACATGACTTTTCTATCTTTTTGGGGACTTCTCTGTTCGGTCATCATGGGTCAAACCAGAGCCATTCGCCCGATTTTGGTGGTTAGGAGGATTCACCCTTTCAGCCTTGGCAACACGCAATGTTTTGTTTGGCTACGCGTTCTTAGATCCCCCCGAACGAAACCCTGACTTCTGGCATGAGATCTATTTTATTTTGGGAGGCCATTTACCGTCCACTGAAATAACATCGATGTCAATATGGACAAACATTTTTTTTTCACGCTCAGGCAGAATGATGTGCAAATAAAGGGCTTTTAAGCTCTTTTCCCCATGTTAATTTACTGGAGAGCAGGGGATTAGATCCAACTGAAGATTCATTTCCACCCAGTATATGAGCTCTACACTGAACCTATCTGCCGTGTAACACTGACCAATACAACCAAGTTTTCCTATTGTCCCATTTTTCTGTTGGTTCTATTTTGGGGATGGGATTGCCGGTGCTCCCATGAATTCTCTTTTCAGGCCTTGCTGTGCGAAACAAGCATCGCGCATCTGTGCGAGCCAAAGGCGCGGCACGCGATTTGGGTGGTCATTTTGGCACCCGAAAAAGGCGTTAGATCCGTTGAAGCTGGGAAACTCAACAGAAAAATGAAGAGCATTAGAGTATATATTCACTCTACTAACCTCAAGAACGGAGAAGACACGATGCTTGTTTCAAGAATTTGGAGTGTGAAGATGCGATCCAGTCACTCAACTGACAGCATTAGGTGATTCTGCTTTCAAATATTTCAGAACTTTCATAATATGTAACACTTTTTTCCCAGAGGATTATCTTAAGAAACATCCCAGTACGTTTATACATTAAGGGTGACTCCCAGTACCACTGCCGCCCCTTTTCAGGAGCTTCTGTCACTTCAACTGCGGGAGAGTGACCCGGTCATCGCAGCCTCCAATGGACGTGTCTTCTTTTTTCATCGCAGCATGGCTGCATGGTTCAGCTTCGCGACAAGCTCAACGGAGGAGGAGCTGTTGCTGGCGTCGCTGTTGGGGACGAAGGACCTTGGGGGCTTGGTTGTCATGTTGGTTAAATTTCAGGACCTTGCGCTGGATTTTAATATTTTTAATGGATTCTGAGATATTTTAGTCTCGAAGCCGAAGCAAAACAACAAGGGACAGATCTGAATGATCTTCGAACGATCTTCGAATGATCTTCGAATGATCTTCGAATGATCTTCGAATGATCTTCGAATGATCTTCGAATGTTTCAAGCCGACTCGAGCTTTCGACTGTTTTGCCCTGGAGGACTTTGAAGCAAAGTTTGTGAACTTTGTGGAGAGTAGGGAAGCAGATCCCCAACACTTTCGAGAGTGGCCTGGCAGTCGTAAGGGGTCGAGGGGAAGGTGAGAAAGGGACGTGTTTTTTGGGATTTGAGGGAAATACATGGACATATTGAAATACTGTATCATCTATCTGACATCTTTAACAGATTGTAGTCTTTCTGCTAGTTTCCAGTATGGGCTTCTGGAGTTCCAAAGCATAGTCCAAGCCTTTTGTGGCTTCTGAAGTGTGGGGTGCTGATGGGTAGACTAACAGCACTCCCTGGGTGTCCGCGATCAATACCATGAATTCTCTGGCATTCAAGGGCAAAATCGTCTTTGCGATCCGTAGCTCTTCCAAATATCATAAAGAGACATCAGGATGGGAGAAGCCACATGTGCCATTGTTAATTTTTTTGGATTGTCTTCCCATATTGGGGGATGCTCATCAATCCATTAATTGTGGATTTATAATGATTTAGATACCCATTTGAAATGGACCATTTTTTCCAGGATTCCCATGAAGGGATGGATGACCAGAAACCATGTACTTGACACACCCTCTGGGTAGCACCAGCCGAGGTTATGTTCGCAGTTTCCCAGCTTACGATCCTTGGCGGATCTGCCAAATCTGTCAAGCTCTCTCGCCGATGTCCGGGATGAAATTAAGGGCCACTACGCCAATCTGTTGCTGTGAAAAAGACGTAAAAGCGCCATGGAGGGTGGGTGATGGGTCAAGTTGGCAGGTTGGAGTTTTTGGGAGAAAGCTATATATATTTTTTGCAAACTCCAGGAAGAGTTGGAAACGTTGGAACCTGTTGGATATTCATGTTGACTCCCAAACAGTTCATGTAGAAATCCCCCCAAAAAAGGCGGATTTCCATGGCGGATTTGGCAGGAGAGCCTCAGCAGCTTGTGGGATTTGTCCAAGGAGGCGGGAGAATCGATGGGTTGATGCGGCTGAAACTATGATAGAAACTCTGCAACCAAAAAAAAAACGATTGGGTGGTAAATGATTGCAGGTTTCTGTGAGAATATGATTTCGATATTCTATCTACCACATTCTATATACCACTGGAGGAGATGTCTTGTTCTTCTTTTTTTTGGTACATTATTTTGACGGGGTAAGATACCGACGTGGTTAGGACAACGTCTCACATATGTACATGCGTATATTCCATGTGCACAATGGTGAACAGTTTGATGATATACCCAGTCTCAATCTGATAATGAGGTTTTCTTATGTACCCATTGTAAGGATTCCCATTGTGGGATGGACGACCATAAACCATGTACGTGGCACACACACACATTCATGTATCACGCAATACATGTGTATATATATATATACACATCACCTGTATTATGTATATATATATATATATTATATATTATATTATATATTATATTATATATTATATTATATATTATATTATATATTATATTATATATTATATTATATATTATATTATATATTATATTATATATTATATATATTATATATATATATCATATATCAATGTGTCCATATTATATAGACGTACATATATCTAGACATATGTACAATGCTATAGTAATAGTTGCATTTATCTTTATGTGCGTGGACATTATTTCAACACACATCGTCTTGGACTTCTATCGCCAGGTGTCGCAGAGCATCTCGCGCTTGCCTGAGGCTGATGTTCACCTCCAGCTTGACATATTCAGTTGCTGCTGCGAAAAATGCCTCTCAAGGGATCCACATTTTGGTTACCCTCTGGTAATGACTAACGTAGCTATTGAAAATGGCCATAGAAATAGTTGATTTACCCATTAAAAATGGTGATTTTCAATAGCTATGTTAAATTACCAGAGGGTATTGAATTGTGCAGTTTCAAACACGTTCATCACCCATGGATTGATGATGCCCAGGGATGTTTTGAGCCAAGGGGTGAACCCACTCAGCGGTAAAATACGCTGTGCTTTGCAAGGACACCACCCAACACGAACCCTTCATTTGGGTTTGTTTTGAAGGGATACCCCAAAATGGTGATTTTAATGGTAAACATGATCATAACTGATCAGAATGTCGTAAAACCAGCGGATTTGGATCCAATTTTTGGACAGCCTCGGGGTGAAACTCCGATCCACTCGGCAGGCGGATCGCCGTGTGGTTGGGGTGGTCAACTTTGATGAACTTCTTTGGGCAAGGTCGGAGGTGTGGGGATGCCCCCAAGCTGCGTTGCACCAGGAAGTGGCTTTGTTTCAAAATTGTGGTACTCTGTGTCCAAGGGTGTGAAAAAAAAGTCCCCATGTCAATGGCAATTGCTATACGGTATACACCTTTTTGGAGAAACTGACATGGATTTGTTGAGCCTTCCATTTCTGGATGTCCGGGGAAGATGCGGGGATTCCATAGCCGCATAGCTATGGTTGTTTCAACTTGTGCCACCGAATGTTGTGCCAGGGCGGTTGCCAATTCAGCTTGCGGGATGACAGACTTGATTTGGAAACTCAGTCGATCCCAGTCGTCAGCGCAGGTGTCTGTTTGACAGCCGAGCGGTGTCAGTGGAAATGCAGGCGCCGCAGCCGAACTTGTTGTGGATAGCCATCCTCAAAAGGTTTGAACAGTTTGGCACTTCTGATGTTACCAGCAAACTCAGATATGGCTGACATAATATATAGAATATAGACGTACGTATAGACTGTATATGTAATAGAGGTATACGGTATACACATAATGTATACAGAATATGCACGATCTGTGGCAGACGTAAAGTTCCTTTCGCAGACCATCAGATGTATGTCCCGAGGTGGACATTGAAATCCCAGGAGTGTCCGACGGCCAAGATCTGCCCATGGTCGACATCATCCAATCTGGTGAAAACGCCAGTGCCGATTGGCAAAGCAGGTTTAGGCCAGACAATATTTTCCTGCTATTCCAACTGGGATGAAATGATGATGTCTCAAAATTATTGACACCCGTGACACCCCAAAAAGGTCTTCCACACCCAGAGGACTTGCAGTATATGGCAGTTTGGGACAGAAAAGTGCATTGGGTGGTCCCATGGCATGTTGCTGTGGCTCAAACATTCCAAGGTCCTTTCCTTCGCGAGTGGTGTGCTTGGCACCTGAGGTCGGCTTGGGGAACCAATAATGCACGAAACAACATCGGTATAGGTATATTCTGGAAATTGTATCATATTGCCTTTGTGTATGACATATACTAGTTCATATAGAATACAATTAGATACACATGTACACATATTAAACTATAGTAACATGAGATATCTGTAAAGATACTGTGGATGTACATGAACAACACTATGTTGAGATGATTGTTGGGCAGTAGCCCATGGCAGTGGACCATTTCAAGAAGATGTCGAACTCGGATGTCGTCGTATTCAATTTGCTCAGAATGGACGGGCACCCCCAAAAAGTCAGAAAAAAAACAGCTCCAACAGATAGAAATCGAACGGATGGTCTTGATAGAAATCATCATAATCATCATATTCCAGAACATCGATTACAATTATGAAATAATAGCAATTAATAATCATAATCACAATCATCATATTTGATTTGCCCAGCCCTCCCCCCCAAAGAATCCAGAACTCAAACACCACCGGGACGTCGAGACGGGAGTCCTGCGAGGTGGACCTGCTGAATCACAGCCACATGGGGGTCCGGAGACCTGTGACGCCTGTGACGCCTGTGACGCCTGCCACCAGCTGTACATCCTGATGACTTTGAGGATGTACGATATATATATAGATATATTATATATATACACAATACTCATACAAATATATATATAGATACATAATGTACATGTATATTTATATGAATATATATATATATACTATATATATATATATATATACATGCCCACAGCTGTTTCTATACACATTTAATGTGTATATGTATAATCCGATATTTGAAGTGTATTTGACACTTTTATGCATAAATTCTACCGGCTCACATCTTTATTCGCCTCAGCGTTTTGGAATGTCACGCGATTCTAAAAACCTTTAGGGTAGCATCAGCTGCGTGTGCAAGTCAACATGAACGTTATTGCCCCCCTACCCACCGCGTGTATAATACATATATATATATATACATATATATATACATATGTGATTATATATGTAATGTATGATATTTACTCTTAGATACAGTGCATGATTTTCTATGCATACGTAGACAAGATCTTCAACAGACAGAAAACGTACGAAACTTTTGGCACGGTTTTCCCTCTGCTGGCATAACATGATTCGGGAATTCGGGAAGCCAGCTCAGATAATGCAGGCGACTTTGGACCAATGATGACACCATTGCCTTGAACCACATAGGCTTGTCCCTTTCTGTCATTATTTTTATCTGAGATTGCCATGAATTGGGGTCTCCACTTCAGAGCCATATCGATTTTTGATTGGTGACATCCCAATTCTATTACCATCTGGTTATTTAACATAGCCATGGAAAATGACCCATTTATAGATGGTTTACCTATTAAAAATGGTGATTTTCTATGGCTATGTTAAATAACCAGAGGGTATATATTGTTGCTTAAAAGCCTATCTCCGTTGGTTGTACCCCTGCCATTTTGCCATTTCGCCCCACCAGACCTGCGCACCTCCATACTTCGACCACGAGCGTCGAAAACTCATTGTCCGGGCGGCCCGTTGTTGCGAAAACGTTTAGGGGCTTCCAACAAAATGTCCTGCATATGTATAAATATATAGTTATGTATTATGTAGTACACACATATATATATATATTCCATAGTATATATATATAAAATGTATAGAGTACCACATTTTTCTCACCCATTTCCCAGTGCCGTTTCTCAGCTCAGCGAGGTGAAGTTGGCAGCCCAAACAGGTGCTGGAAGAGAGGCGGAGGGCTCGAGTCAATTATAGAATTGGATATATGGAGGTTTGGTTGGTTTATATTGGATGGTTATACTGTATATATATATATATATATGTATCTGGTTAAATTATAGGAAAACCTCACTGCGACCTCACTGGAATGATGGTTAGTAGGGGAAACAATAGGGAAACAATAGGGACATATTCTATATCCAATATAGGGACATATCATATAGATGATATATCCGGAATGATGGTTAGTAGGGGAAAGAAATAGGGAACTCATCCAGATATATGGGTCCTAAAATGAAGGTACCCGAAGAGCTGGATGGTTAATGGAACAATCGATTAAAATGGATGATTTGGGTGTAGCCCTATTTGAGGAAACACCCATAGCACCAATGCATCGAATTCTATATTGGACATATCCACCATTTGCCGGAAATTTCCATTGGAATTTCCATTTTTTTGGGGGGGGAATAGAATTGGAATAGAACTGGATATATCACTAAACATACTGTGGGTGGAAGAAATCCTGAACCAGTTGATAGGTGGTGTATCCTATTATGTATAGTGTTTCGACCATGCAAGGTGGTGCAGGATTTCTTGCATCCACAGTATCATCAATGTTGATGATATTTTTTTGGGTGGGTTTTGTTGTCAGCAACTTAAATAACAGGTCTTTAATTAATGGCGACTTTGATCTGGAAAGATGATGAAAATCCAACGGAATTGAGAGTACTTCATTTACAGATAAAGCCTTTTGAGGTTACAAACAACTTCTAGATCAAATACCAATGGAATATTGACAGTATTTGATGTTCTAGATGATCAATACATCTATCCTTTTTGATTAGGCTGTTCTCATGCTATTCAGCTTGCTTTTGGAAGCAGAGTGACCAGGTATGCCTCTCTTATGGCCCGTTGCAAAATTGGGAGCTGCTCTTCTACTATGGCTTCTGCCCAGCTGTTGGGAGCTCAAACCAACTGATCGTCACAAAGAAGACTAGACCCAATAAACCCCAATTGCGGATGGTTTATGGTAGTTTATGGTTAGTTTTTTTAGCCGCCCTAATCCGGGTTCTTTTTTTTGCATCAGGTTTGTGAAGTTGCCAAAACTTCTCTTCCTTGAGCTCTGAACTTTTGACATGACACTTCATGACACAGGCACTGGATGCTTCACAGGTGAGTTTGTAGGGTTTCCCAAAAATGGCTACCATTTCCTAACTTATCCACCAGTTCATGTTTGTTAAGAGCATGACAATGTCAGACCACCCAACGGTTGGGGGTCTCCCTATTTTTTGGGACCCACATCGACCGGGTCGAAGCTGCACTGGCAGGTCAACCCACACGATCGGCTGGTGATCAACGTGGATCTGCCGGATGAGTCGACGGCGGAGAGAGAGGTGTGGTCCGACACTGCATGGCCTGTGGGTTGATCTAGAAGCCTCAAGCATAGTTAGTCAGTCTGGGAAACTCATGGATTGGGTAAGTTGGCCTCCAACTTTTGGAAATGGATTGACACCAACCTCACCCAACCTCCAAAATCTAGGTGTTGAGTGTTGCTTCAGAAGGCTTTGTTCCACTGGTGATTCTATGGCCTATGAGTTTCCCAAGACTGAGAAATACACAACTAACTCGAATCTGGGAGATGTCGAATCACGCAACCCAGGGATTGTGGCATTATTGAGGGATTTTTAGGCCTGAAGCATATGCTTTTGTGGGTCTGTGGGTCTCTGTTTCCTGATATTGTCCACGTTCTGAACATCCTTGTTCAAAACTTTCATTCCTGATTGTCCAGTGGCCTTGTTTGTCCATCATTCATCGGTTGCGTCCGCCATTCTTTTTTGGATTCATCTGCGATATTTCTTTTCGATGGTTCAACCATTGTATCATCTGTTTTTCGATGGAGAACCATGAGAAACCCATGAGGTATATGAATATCTATACACATAAACCCATGTGAAACTACATAAATCTCATCTTCATCTACATAGATCTACATCGATCTTATATTGAACTATTGAACCTATATAAAACCACATAAATCCCATATTTCGCCATAGATTTTCTGGCAATTTTCAAGGCATCACAGCCAGGTGGTGCTCCAGCTGCATGGCGTGCCCACCGAGGTGGCCTTGCGACCTCCGCCCGTGGAGGCGATGGGATTGCTATGACCTCTAATTTATACGGGATCAAATATACATACATACATACATACATACATACATACATACATACATACATACATACATACATACATACATACATACATACATACATACATACATACACACAGACATACATACATACATACATACATACAGACAGACATAAATACATACAGACGGACATACATACATACAGACATACATACAGACATACATACATACATACAGACATACATACATACAGACATACATACATACATACACATACATACATACATACATACATACATACATACGTATAGATATATATATATATACATGGGCCAAACTATGTTAAACTTTGCCTTCTCCAAATGCAGCATTTGAACACGGCACCATTTACATACATACATATACATACATATGCATACATATGCATACATATACATACACAATGGGATAGAACAACCGTGATTGACCAACCACGATGGGGACACAGCATTTTGACTGTAATAAATGGTGGATATAATGGGGATATTAAAGAACACAAAGGGTTTTCACTTGAGTAACTGAGATATATCGGAGAATGGGGGATTCAACCAGCAAGTATGGATATATCCTGGGGATATATCCCCCAAATGGCTATTGAATCATCAAAACAGGGGATTTCATCACACCATAGGGATTAAACCAACCCTTTTACAGGATATGTTTCACCAACAATATGGGGGTTTCCATAAATGGAAGTAGCCCCCAAATTCCAGCTATTGGGGATCCTCCATAAATGGGAAGCCCCCATATACTGTATGATATCCAGGTGTGTCTGAAATTGGGGTATGCCACCCCACATTTGCAATTCCATAGGGAACATGATGCGTTTCGCCATCAAATTTGGCACTTTCCCAATAGAAAATGGCAATGTTGGGGTAGTGCAAACCCACATATCGCATTTTTGGTGAGATATACTGCCATTATATCCCCAGAAAATGTCGGGTTTCTGCCCCTATTGGTGAAATCCCAATCTTTGTTGGCATTTGGCTGCTTTTCAAACCCCAGAATGGCTTGGTGAAAGATTCCACCATTTTGGTCTTCTTACATCCCAATGGTGGAAAATGTATATGTATATATGATGGGAAAAAAACATACATACATACATTCCAACATTTTGATGGTGAAATGTCCCAATTTTTCGGGAATCTGGTCGCAGGTGGGGTCTGGCTGGTGCACTTTGGGGCTCCTTCCAGCGCAGCTCTTGAGGCCGAAATCGATGGGTTTTTGTTCCCCAGTAGTTCATCCAGCATTTGGGGAATCTGCTAAGGCTGCTAAGGATTACCCTCTGGTAAACTAACATAACTATGGAAAGATCCACCATGCTATTAATGGGAAAGCTCACTATTTCGACTGGGCCATTTTTCAATAGCAAACTGTAACAAATTACCAGAGGGTATTATCTATTTTTTTTTGGGGGAGTTCCTGAATCAAATCCAAGTAGATGTTAGGATGTTTTTCGGGTTATTTTAGGGATGTCAAAAACAATGTTAAAGATCTATTGTTAGGGATTTTATTCAGGATATCAATTCCAGTTGTTGGAGCTATTGTTGATGCCATGATATTTTTCAGAATGGGATAGAAGCTACCATCTATTGTGGTGATAGTGCTAGAATGTTGTAGGAAAGCCACACGATGAAGAAACCGGGATTCAATGACACCTTTTTTCTACAAGGGCCTCTATCTGTAAGGACAATGTCGGAGTGTATTCTATTTGTAAGGACAATGTTTGCAGGCAGTGCTGCGGGAAATGATCACAAAAAAAGCCTTGAACATCCTCCAACCTTCAACCACTGGGGCAGTGGGGCAGTGCTGCAATGGAAACGCCTTGGATCCCCAGGTGCTTTCGAGTGCTGCTGGGAGAAATTGGGAGCTTCGACGTCGATGCGGCACCTGGAGAAGGCCCCTTTTTGGGGGATGGGAAATGATGATAAATAGTTCTCAGAAGGACACGATGGAAGTGAGCATTTGGAGTGAACCTCTTGGCAATGAAATGCCAACTGTCCAACTTCCTTCAATGCGGACCAGGGACCCATTCCACCACGAAGTTGTGTTCCTAAGTTGATTCGGAACCGATTTCATTTGACTTGTGGTGTTTTCCAATCATTGCAATCTTTACCCTCCATGATCCCCCGCTAGTGTACCTCTATGAAATGAGAGTGTGGTCGTTTATGCATTTGCGTTTACGAGTATCATTCTATAAACCCAGGGTTAAACAAAAACTTCAAACACATTCGAAAAAACACACACTTCTTGGACAGACAATCATCATTGTATAAAAAAGACAATGGGAGTGGAGATGGTAAAACACCTCCATGAATTTTCTCATTTTCCGATGATTTTCTCATTAAACGATCTATCATTTTGGGGGGGATTTCACAGCTATGTTTGAGGACAGAGGGACGAATCTCTTTCCAGACCTGCAGGGCACATGTTGGAGTTGGATCTGCAGTGTTTCGCTGCCATGGAGGCCAGAGATGGTTCCCATTCCGGGGATATTTTTCTCCAAGTTGTTAAACAACAGAGATCTACAATGCTGTGAAAGCAATCTGTTCATTTGATATTCATAAAATTTCATAAATATCTCGTTGGAAATGTTCCACCTATGGGCCGGGGGAGTGTAAGACACCAGCTGCAATGGTGGTTTAATTGTGATTTGACATTGAGTACAGATGATCATTAGGCTATGGCATATATGGCCTGTGGATTCATTGATTCGCCTGCGATGAAATTTGCCACCGATTTTTTCCAAGTAGCGATTCATCAGATCCTGCCACCAATGGGTCGTTGTGTGAGCGACTTGATCCGAATCCGAATCCGAAGTGCGAAGAAGATAGCCATTGGTTTGACAAATGTTTGCGATGGACAATTGCCCATTTAGTTCGGTGATTTACCTATAAATTTTACTTTAGCATGGTGAATGGCCTACCCTTCTTGTGGAAACTTCGCTGCTCCATGCTGCTCTTAATGCTGCTCCAGCTGTGGCCTTGAAATCAAGGGCCTGGCCTGGCACGAATAATTCAGGTGATTCTATTCACCATACCCTCTGGCTATTTAACATAGCCATGGGAAATGGACCATTGAAAAAGAGGTTTACCTATTAATAGCATGGTGATTTTCCATGGCTATGTTAAATAGCCAGATGGTATCCCTGTAAATATCGCATTGAATCTTAATTTTCCTTGCCTAAGTCCCAATGTTTTTTTTGGCATTTCCAAACATGGCGATGTCGTCGCAGGCAATAACCACAGATTTTCCTGACGTCATGTAGGGGATTTAAGGCAACCCAGTCGATACACATATTACAGATATTTACAGATCATAAATTTAGACTTCAGCCCAATGTCCCAGAGTGAGTTGAATGATGTTGAACAGAAACTTTGGGCCACAAATACTTAATACTTGACGGTAAAGCCATGGTTTCCTGCAAAACTTGTCCTTCACATCGAGTGACAGTTTAGCAACGAGGAGTTGCTCGTGGGGCTTCTGGAACCACTTCAAGGCAGTAGGAGAGGGGACGATTAATTTTTTTTGGTTCAATATTGTTCAATGGGCTATTGAGTTATGATTGAGTTATGATTGAGTTATGATTGAGTTATGATTGAGTTATGATTGAGTTCTGATTGAGTTATGATTGAGTTTGAGTTGCTGTCTATCTACATATCTCGGACATGAGATTTTTCCACATTTTTTCCCATGAAATCTCGATTTTTCCAGGTCCTGAGGAGCAGCCTTCCTGGTGGGAGCACCCAGCGGGACCTTGGTGATGAGTGGTTTTTGAGGTTACAATGGTTTGACTTAATATATCAATCTGGGTAAATTATAACAACCTCACTGCGACCTCACTGGGAATCATGGTTAATAAGGGAAATCATCCCCAAATGGCCTCAATTCAGGTTAGTGAAATATTCTAATTTACCATATATGGGGATGGGTCAATACCTATTAATACCATTTTTAGGGGGATGAACATCCATTTACCAGCTATTTTGATGTGAACTACAGGGGTACAAGGTTTTGACACACTGCCATATATCAATTCATATGGGGATGTATCAAAACCAATCTTGCTATATTTGGGAGGATGAACTCGGATGAACATCCATTTACCAGTTATTTGGGCTTCACTAGGGTACCAAGGTTTTCACTCATACCCATACAATTCATATATCACTTCTATGAATTCATATCAAGTCATATCACTCATGTCACTCATGTCACTTAAATATCACAATCATGATGTTTTTGGCGTGGAAAATGCTTCTGGATGTCACACGCGCGGTGAAGCATAGGGTCATGGGCATCTTTTGGTGTGTCACAAACACCCAGATCACTGGTGCTGGTTGGATTCCTCCAACACCTGATGTGTCCTATTTGGCCCCAATGGCAGGATTTGCCATGGAGGGATATATAATGATATATACGTATATAAATATATATAATGTGAACAGAAGCTGGTTGCCCTTAGGGCCAGCGCATCCCCTCTGCTCAGTGCAGCGCTGTCCTGCTGCGCTGACAGGGGTGGGGTGGGCACAAACCACTCATAGGTTATCAGCTCGCATGCTCAGCTGAGCAAAGGTGAGACCGGGCGTCTGTTCTGGGGGGCGAATGCTAAAGACCTTCCCAGGCAGATGTTTGCCCTGTAGCCCCTCAAAGGACTTCTGTTTGTGGCCTTCAAAAATGCCACCACCAAAAAGAAAACAAATGGTGTCGCCACCTTCGAAGTGGGGGGTGTGAACAGAAGCTGGTTGCCCTTAGGGCCAGCGCGTCCCCTCTGCTCAGTGCAGCGCTGTCCTGCTGCGCTGACAGGGGTGGGGTGGGCACAAACCACTCATATATAATTATATATACTGTATATATATATATAATTATATATATATACATATCACTATTGTAGAGCAGGGTGACATGATGTTTTTCATGTTTTTTTTTCTCCCGATTATAAAGGCACCATCCACCGGTTAAACATAGAGATTGGCCGGGCTTTTAGTGATGGGCGGCTTTCCGTTTTAGGTGGCCCATCTACGGTCCTCGAATCGAGGCACCTGCGCTGTCCATTGATCAAATGGGACATGGGAAATGATGGACTGGTTTCAGTTGGTATGTACTAAATGATGGACATGGGGAAAAGACGATGGAATGTTTTTTCGCATCCATCATCCATTTTTTTTTTGGTTGAGCGTATTGACGATATGTCAAAGCCAGATCTGAGGGTGATACATCCACGTTTTTTGGGTGACGGACATGCATTTTGGTGTCAGGATATTGAATGATATATATTCAGGATCCTGAAACAAATCCAGATAGAAATAGATATGCCTTCCATTTTCTGATGTTTCCCCTTATGTATCCATCTGTTTTTGGCAACCATAATCTCTCACATTTCTAGATAAACATCGATTCATTTTGCACTTTGTGATTAGTTTTTCCCTCATCCACCTGTTTTTGAGACCAACATGTACCCTCCAGTATTTTAATATAGCTATGAAACATCACATTTTGAATACAGGTCCTCCAAATCAACGAACTAAATGACATAGCTGTTGAAGATCATCATTTTCGGTAGATCATGGTAGATCCATTAGCCGTAAAAATCTAGCCAAACCTATGAAAATCTGGTAAATTCCTAGATTCCCGAGCCGTTAACATCTAGCAACATCTATCAACATCTACAGGTTAGATAGGTGGTAAAATCTATAGGTTAACATCTATTCTGTTAACATCTGGTAAAATCTATAGGTTAAATTCGTGACACCACCCCACATCGCAGGCCTTCCGCGCGTCCCAGCGCCAACTGATCGAGGGAAACCTGCAGCAGCTTAAGGAGCTGACAAGGAGGCACTTATGGCACGGTTTGGAGATGAAGATGGGGCGATTGTGATTTAGCCAGTTAAATAGGGGACATAATGGGAATTTTACCAGCAAATATTGTGATCTAGATGATCTAACCAGCAATTCATGGGGATTCAAGCATGAGACATATGAATTTAACCATCAAAATTAATCAATATGAATGGTTTAACCATGTTTAACGAATATTGAATTGGGAAATGGAATAGCGACCATGAACACTTGGGATATATGGGACAATTGACCAAAATGAAACAACAAATTGACACTGGGGTGTGTCCAGAAAGAGGGTAAACCATGGTATACTCCTCTTAAGAATCTTGGTGGCTAAAAGGATGAAGAACCTTTGGTTTTTTGGGTTCTATAGTTTCAGACAGAGTAACTTTTGACATTTTTTCCTTGGCTACCCCGATACATGACATGACATCGTGTGTGTATATATATACACAATATATATATATATATATGTGTATATATATATGTATACAATATATATATATATATTCATATACAATATATATATATATATATTCATATACAATATATATATATATATATATTCATATACAATATATATAATATAATATAATATAATATAATAAAATATAATATAATAGAATATAATATAATATAATATATAATATAATATAATATAATTTAATATAATATAACATAATATATAATATAATATAATATAATATAATATAGTATAATATATAATATAATATAACATAATATAATATAATATAATATAATATAAATATATATATAATATAACACACATATATATAATCTCTCTCTCTCTATATATATAAATCAATATTACCAACGTGACATGGTTGTTTGGGGTTTTGCCGATATGAGTATTTCTCAAAGTGGGGAATCCTTATATGCTCAACAAGCTTGCCTTATTTTGGTATGGATGCCAGGTTTTCTTCGGGCCCCATTCTGAGAAACATCAAGCTTGTTTTTCTTGTCTGTTGAGGGGGAGTTTTGATTTGCCAAACATAGTAGGGTTTATGTACTTTTAAAACTATATTTTTTTTCATCCAGAAAAAACAATGATGAGGGTCAGCTGATCGTCCGTGGGAGGGATTTTTCCTCAACCAATGATGGGCCGTGTGCACGACTGTTGAGGGGATGGGTTGTCACCAATTCTCGGGATAAAACTATCATGGCAAAACCAAGGACCAGTAACAGGGCTTAACATGGCTCAACCAATCAAGCAATAGTGTTTTTGAATATATAACATATATAACTCAACTCATGGGGGACCGGTTATAACCGTGGTCTGTTTGGTGCCTTGGTGCTCTGGGAATCAGAATTGCGGAGGCCCAAGGGGATGGTTTACCAACAGTCACCATCAGTCCATCAGTTTTCATCTTTTGGCTTTTATTCCATCAGCTATTCCCACCATGAAGATAGCACATGGGATTTTGATGGATTTTGCGGAAGTTGTGGGGATCGTACCATGTCACGATTGACGGTACGATCAGGATAACCAGCGACCTCATTGATGTTTTCAGTGTCCACCAAGCATCAATGCATCCCAGCACTCTCAGCCGCAATATCCTCTATGCCACAACCAAGCATTGGCGCAGCAACAAGTGGTAACTGCCATGGCACGTTTCATATCACTTCAGATTTCTATCAAATCTTAAGTCCATCAGCAACACCCCCTCATCATATCTCCTAGCGGTAGTGCTATACCGTTCTTGCACGACTGCCCACAGGTTTCTGCAGCCCAACAAGAAACCACGGCTTGCGGAACAAGAAATGGAGCTGCAGATGCTTGCAGGGCGATGTCCATTGAAAACTTCGAAGATTTGCAAAGGACTACCAAGGAAACTTCGAACTCATCTGTTTACACTGAAAGGTATGGACATTCGAAATAGGTGTGTCCAAAAATGGGGCGGGATACCTCGATAAATCTAATCTAGAGCATCGGTTTTTACGAGCAAAGTAGATCTTTCAGTTGCTTTCTTCTGTCCCAAACTCTTCTAAATATGTACGCATATAATCGTATAACATAACATTTAACACACACACATACATACATACATCCATCCATACATACATGCATGCATACATACATCCATCCATCCATACATACATGCATGCATACATGCATGCATACATACATACATACATACATATATATATATATATACATGGGCCAAACTATGTTAAACTTTGCCTTCTCCAAATGCAGCATTTGAACACGGCACTTTGCCTTCTTTTTTGCCACGCAGGCATCATTCAACCCAGAGCACCAAAGCAATCTCATTGCGTTGAGGACGGGATCGGAGTGGGGTTAGAGCCGGGCTTGAGGATGAGATATTCTCCAGCAGCCACATGGCGACTTTTATGACTCGAAATGATGGACCACGAAAACCTCATGGTTTAGCAGTTTAGCATTCAACATTGCCAAATCTATCCAAATCTGCAGTCAGTTCGTACCTCATTCTCGAGACCATGCCATAGCCCGGCCACGTCAGGCGTGTAGCACGTGCTCCCAGACCCACCCTGAAAGCGGAAGACGATTGAAGCGATTCAACCGATAGTAACACTGGACACTGCAGGATGAGGCTGGTATGGTGACAACATGGTGACATCAACCAGAGATAACATACCCTCTGAGACTCTTGTAATTTGACATAAACATATGGAAATTCATCGCCCGTACGCCAGCGGAAATGAAGGGACTTTACCACTCTAAGACTGAACCGACATGAAGAGATGCTGGGGAATGTGGTAACATGAAGCCTATGGTTACAGCGATCTGGCCATGGGACCAGTGACCAGCTCCGTTTGTTGAGCATTCGCGTCCTCATCTGCTGTGTTTGCGCCCACTTTGGTGGGTGCGGCACTGCGTGCCTTGATGTTGGAGAACTTCTCAAAGATATTTATGATATTTGCTGCTTGGCTTGTATCACCATTTTTCATTTACCAGCTAAAAAAGGAGCCTAACCACCACTTCTGGGGACATCTAGGATATTTGAATATATTTGACCAAATATCACCGGTTGGTGCTTTCAAGATCCCTTACTTGGATTCCGATTTGGTATGATCTCAAATGTTAGTTACGCCGAGCACTTTGGAACCTGGACCTCGTTTTATTTATGGAAGTTCTCCACATTCAGTGCTTTGCTGGGTGTGAAATCGGCGCACTCCGAATTGACAGCATCCCACCTGCTAACCCTTGAGGTGTTGTGAGTCCAAGACAAAAAAATCGACTTTGGCTCAAATTTGGATGCTTTGATACTCAAGATGACCATTTATATATATGATTATATATATATACACACATAATTATATATATATATTACTAGTATTATATTATATATCTATCTATATAAATGTGTTCATCTTTATTTTGGTCCCGCATGTTTGACTCTTAAAGCCATCCCATTTGACACCCAGTTTATAAACATCCGACCGCAGCTGCTCTTTTTTCCACGCTGAGAGCCAAGCCTTGGCCTCTGCGACTTGAGCTGTCTGTCTAAGGTGCCTGGCTATTGGGCAGCCTTCCCTGTGGTGTCTGTTTTTTGTAGGCGATCAAAGAGTACCAAGCAACTGGAGACTTGCGTTTTTTTTTTGTTTCGACTATGCCTATGCCTAACAGTCCATTGTTGGTGGTACCATTGCTGGTCGCCGCGACACCGTGACGACAACTTTGTTTTGACCAACTTTGACCATCACGACAGTGGGCTCGCAGCAGTGTACAACAGATCGATTCCACCTGAAAAACTCTTCAGGATCCTGTCTGGAGATCTTTCAGAGCCATTTTTTTACTGGGGCACTTACAAATGCTGGAAAAATTGTACCGTCTCCCTGCAGGGCTTGTACATCAGCTGCGCGACCCCGAAAAACCTGGTCTCACAGTGGGAGAGTTGCGCTTGGCAAAGGGTCGGAAATCTGGCAGTGCTTGTGATGAGCCACTGCTTGGTGATCTCAAGTATGTTTCTGTTTCGATCTCGTACCATTTCGTAGCTGGTTATGTTGACTCGAAAAATGATCCCCAATGACTAAAACTTGTTTTGTCAAGTTTTTGAATCACCGGAACTTAGTTCGACCACCAACCAGGCCTTTTTTTTTTGGCCCTTTGCAATCCGAAGACCCGGGGATTTCCAAGACTTCGGCGGGTTCTCAAAGAGATCCTGCCGAAAAATCGGTGCTAGAAATGGAGCGTGGTGAAAGGCCGCTGTGAAATTCAGATGGGAGCGGTTGCTAACCTGTGAAAACGAAGGAAAACTATACATGATTATATAATCTATAATTATACTATATATAATATAATATAATATAATAATCTAATATAATATAATATAATATAAATATATAATATAATATAATATAATATAATATAATATAATATAATATAATAATATATATATAATATAATATAATATATATATATATATAATATAATATAATATAATATAATATAATATATATATATATATATTTATTAGTATCTTTAATTTGTATATGTCGCTAGTTTGGGATGTTTTGAAGAAACTGCATCCTATCTAAAGAAGCACATTCCAAAGCGTAAAAAAAAGGTGGCTGTGATTCCTCACAACGGCAGAATGACACTGGAAATCTGAGAGGCTGGACCCTCTGGTAAACTAACATAAGTATGGAAAATCACCATTTTCAATGGGTAAATCCACTATAAATGGCCATTTTCAATAGCTACGTTAAATTACCAGAGGGTAGTATATGTGGTTGCGACACAATGATTTTATACATTTTATATCATTTTATACTGTCGCTCCCTACATGTTGGGATTTTCCATGGGATTTTCCGTGTTGAAGTTGGCCCCATGTTGGGATTGTCTCAGGTCGTTGTGGAGGGTAACAGCACCTGGTGTGGGTGCTGTTGCTCGAGTTTACCATCAACAATCAGACAGCATCTACTTTTGGAATTTGAACTGAAATGACGGTGCTGGTTGAGTGTCAATTTTTTAGATGTTTTTTCGAACCATCGTTGGGGCGATCTTTTGGGAAGCCAGAGTGTTGAATAAATCTGGGATTTCAGCCTGTGAAAAGGGCTCAACACCGCTGGTTGATGATT